CTCTGTTTCTCTTTCTTTCTTTCTTTCTTTCTTTCTTTCTTTCTTTCTTTCTTTCTTTCTTTCTTTCTCCTTCCTTCCTTCCTTCCTTCCTTCCTTCCTTCCTTCCTTCCTTCCTTCCTTCCTCCCTCCCTCCCTCCCTCCCTCCCTCCCTCCCTTCCTTGTATAAACTCCTGGGGCGGGGGGGGGGGGGGGGAGCCAGTTCGTTGATCAGATGCCATTTATTCTATTCTCCCCAAGCACCTGCCCCAGTCTCTCAGAACCTCCCATCCTAGTCTTCCTCTGCTCCTCATTCCTGTCTCCTTCGATCACTCCTGCTCATATCTCTGCGCTTCATCTCACATCCTGGGCTCTTTCTCTCCAGGTACCTGCTTCAGTATTCTTCTACACTCTTCTCTCTGTCCCCGCGGCCCATCTTGTCACCCTGTTCTCTCTCATCTCTCTTCAGCTCTTTCTCTCCAACTTCCATACTCTGGGCTGACTCTACATTCAGTTAGGTAGCAAAATCAACATAAGAAAGCCCTTCCTGAGGACCTGCCAGGTTCAAAGGAAACATCACAATCAATCACTATCACAACCATCCTGGTATTTGTTGATTGCCTCCAGCAGGCCCCAGTAACATCTCCTTTGTCTTAGCCCTGAGATTTTTTTTTAAAAATGTGCCATATTCAAGGCTCTTTCAGAGTTAGGAGAATGAGATCCTTCATTGTTACTGGTATTTGGCATATTGGGTACGCCACGGGGAGTTTGCCAGACTCTGCCGTGTGGGCACGTTACATTCGGTAGCCTGCCAGTTTGTCCAAAGTAGGAATGAGATGATAAGATGTTGCGCGCTTCCCGGAGCTGGGTTTTATAGTCTCTGAGTCTTGGCTGTTGATGGGATTAAAGGAAGTCTTAGCCAAAGGAAACATCACCTAAGAGATATTTCAAAGCCCTTCCTCACTGCCCAAGGGCAAAATACCTCCTAAAGTGTTTTCTCCTTTCCATATCCAAAAATTCAATTATCTTAACATCTTAATACTAGTTACTTTTGTATGAACATAGTAAGAGATACATTGAGGCTTGTAGGGCAGCTCTCCTGGGAACATCTTGTCAGAGACTCAGACTACAGTGTTCAGGCCAGATTAATCATTCCTAAACCTAGCAGGGTCTGAATCTAGTTATTACATTTTGGATCAGGACAGCATTTGTCCATGACCATGCTCTTAATTTATAGTTAAGCATTAGGCACTTTGGCCAGGCCCATCTCGATGCCAGGGTAACACATAGCTTACCGCTTGCCCTGGTTCCATCCAGTCCCTCATTGGTACACTGCTTTTGGGGGTTCTAGGAAGTAAGGGCAGCTGAGGCTTAGGTCAAAGAACAGATGCCCAGGAGGAAAATACCACTGAGAATCATGTTACAAAAGCATAGCATATGCTGTCTTCTTGTGTCCATACAAAAAGGACATTGCTCTGAATAACTATGCAAAGGACTTAAGGAGAAGAGAAAAACAATATTGACAAGTCAACAGAGCACAAAAAAAGAAGTTACAAATAAACAGAGGAATGGAAGCACTGTGATGGGAGTAACACAATAAACCCAAGCTACTTGAGGCTATGCAGGAAGGACAAAACAATGTTATCCTACTCTTTCTTTCTCTCTCTTTCTTTCTTTGTTTCTTTCTTTCCTTCCTTCCTTCCTTCCTTCCTTCCTTCCTTCCTTCCTCTTCTTCTTTTTCTTCTTTCTTTCTTTCTTTCTTTCTTTCTTTCTTTCTTTCTTTCTTTCTTTCTTTCTTTCTTTCTTTCTTTTGCTTTTTGGGTCATACCCGGCAGTGCACAGGGGTTACTCCTGGCTCTGCACTCAGGAATTATCCCTGGTGGTGCTCAGGGAACCATATGAGTTGCTGGGAATCGAACCTGGGTCTCCCTTGGGCAAGGCAAATGCCCTACCTGCTGTGCTATTGCTCCAGTCCCAGTAAGTCTTCTTTAAAGGTTTAAAAGAACTCACTAGTGAACGCATCTGGGCCTGGGCTTTGGTTTTTGGGGATACTTTTGGTTACCATTTTGATGTCTTTTGTAGTGTTAGGTCTGTTCAGGTGTTCTACATCTTGTTGGGAGTTTATAGGAGTTCAAAAATTTATTCATTTCTTCTAAGTTCTCTAGTTTTGTGGCATACAGATTTTCAAAGTAATCTCTGATGATTTTTTAAATTTCCAGGAATCCTTGTATTTCTTCTTTGATTCACTGATTGTTCAGTGGTAAGCTGTTTAATTTCTAGGTGTTTGAGTTGTTTTTCCATTTCTGTTTGTAATAAACTTTTATTTTCACTGTGTCATAGTCTGAGAATATAGTTGATACGATTTCTATTCTCCTTGTGGAGACGTATTTTGTGTCCCAGCATGTGGTTTATTTTGGTGAATGTCCCATGTTCATTGGAGTTTGTATATTCATCTTTTGGGGGATGAAAAGTCAAAGTCATTAAGAATGTGTGTGTGTGTGTGTGTGTGTAGTAATCCCCTCTCTTCCATTTTTTCCTTCAAGACCAGTATTTCCTGCTGAACTTTAGTCTGGTTGATCTATCGAGAGGTGACAGAGAGGAGTTGAGGTCTCCAGCTATTACTGTATTTCTATCAGTGTCTTCCTACAAGTCTAATATCAGTTGTTCCAAGTATTTTCTTGGTTCCTTGTATATTTCCTCTCATCACCTATTGAACATCTTTGCATGGGTCTATCATTTCCTTATAATGTCCAAAAGAATGATTTTATAAAAAAGGAATTCTCTCATTTCTTCTTCATTTTAATGGCATTTTTATTTGATGAAATGCCTTTTTAAAAGTCTTATTGGGGATATTTGATTACCCTACTTACTGCAATAAGAAGTACATCACTAGTTCTTTCCATCTAATTATTAATATTCCCCTCTCGGAGAGCCTGGCAAGCTACCGAGAGTATTCGATATGCCAGACACAGTAACAACAAAGTCTCCAATGGAGACGTTACTGGGCCCGCTCGAGCAAATCGATGATCAACGGGAGGGCCTTTACTTACTTACTTTACTATTAATATTAAGAAATAGGAGTTGTTGATGCATAGTCACATCCAGTAGGGGCAAATGAATTTTGTTTTTTATTATTTTCTCTGTTAACTCATTTTTAACATGCTGATAATAATGTTTTAATTAATTGTAGTTGTCATTTATGTGACAACTGTCACATAAATTGTCAGCTTCTTCAAGTTGCCTTTTGGGTGCTTTTGACATAATTATATTTATCACTGATTTCTAAGCAAAAAGGTACCTACTTAGCTAATACTATAAATATTATATATATTATATATTATGAAGTAAAATATATTTTCTCATATGCACTGTAGCACTGTCTTCCCATTGTTCATTGATTTGCTCAAGCGGGCACCAGTAACATCTCACAACAAATTGTGAGACTTGCTGTTACTATTTTTGGCATATAGAATATGTCACGGGTAGCTTGTCAGGCTTTCCCTTGTGGACCAAATACTCTTGGTAGCTTGCCAGGTTCTCTGAAAGGCACGGAGGAATCGAACCTGGGTTGGCCATGTGCAAGGCAAACGCCTTACCCGCTGTTCTATTGCTCTAGTGAATAATATATAATATTTGTAATTCTGTCATTGTACACAAAATGAAAGCAAAGTAACATACTTTTACTTAAGTTCATTTTTCTAAAATTTATCATTCTTTTATAAAATTTAGAAACACTGGTGTTTCTATATACATTTCTTAACTTTTCTTCTTTTGCCATAGCAAGTATTCTTTCAATATGCAACACATTAAAAAATAGCTCATAGATTAGTGTCCACTAGAATGGAAATAGCTAATATAAAATAGGAGATGTGAAATTCAGTATTCTCTTGATAATATAAAGTTTTATTTAAAAATGAAAGCATGCCTCTATCATTATTTGAATCTCAAGAATGAAATATTATAATATTAATTTGTAAATTAAGATGGTAGAAATGAATTTATTCTGAATACAGTAAACCTGTTGAAAGAGTTTTCTCAAATCATAGTTTGATCCCAAATTCTATGAAGCTGGTTGAATTCATTCAGAATTGAGCTTCTGACATGTAGTCATGGAAACCAGTGTTCTCAACCTTTTTCTGACCATGACCCCTTCCAGTCTTGTTTCTTTCTGTGACCCCCCTGTCCTAGCACTTCCAGTCTTGAGCTGTGGTCCCCCATTGATGTAGTTTTCACCTGTGTCCTCCTTAGAAAGCCCTGGGAACCCACAGGGGTCATATGACCCCTGGTTGAGAAACACTGATAAGAAAAATAATGTTATTTCAATATTTTTTAAAATAGATGACCATTCTTCCCAGTTGTGACAGAAATTCAGCAGACACAAGGGAATTTAGAACACTGGTAGGAGTGACTGACATGGTGTCCCAGACCAGCTGCCTCTGTGACTGAGTTCAGGGTGAGAGGCAGGATGTAGCCAGAAAGATGAAAGCGTTTGTGGTCCTGGACTCCCGAAATTCAGATTTTAGAAGCGGCTCAGCCTTTGTTGTTGTTTGGCCAGACTCTGCAGTGCTTAGGGGCCATAACTGGCTCTGTGCTCAGCGGCTGCCACACTTGTCAGTCTGCTTGGGGGACCATGTACTGTTGTGGGATTTGACCCAGGGTCATGGCCATTGCCATGTGCTGGGCAAGCACCTTAACCTTTGTACCATCTCTGCAGCCTGCTGCTCAGTTTTGGTGCTCTGCGTTAGACTGGTATGTACTTGCGAATATCTTGGATCAATGATTATTAAGGATGAGTTGGGTTATTTTCCTGAGAAGTAACAGGGAAATGAAGTCACACATGAATCACATCTGGATAAGTGACGGTAAATAAACTTGGTAGTGGGTTGAATTTGTTAATTTGCCAATGTACTCTGGCAATTGAAATGATACTGTTCTTACTCGTAGCCAGTTTGTGGGTGCTACGTTGTCCAGAAATTACTTACTTCTAGTGTAGTTTAATTCTTCTCCTTTTTCATTTCTTTAAGAATGTCTTACCTGTCCAAAAGGCAGCTTCACGGACTCTATGCATTTTTTTACGTTATAATCGTAAGCAAGACCAGAGACATGAGGTGATTCAAAAATTAATTGAACGTAAGTAACCTTTGTCTTTCTTTTTGGAAAAAAACAAAAAAAGGGAAAGCAAACAGCTAGTTGGTTTCAGTTTGGTCTGACTTTCTCTACTGTTTTGCCATGCATAATTAGGTTAATGTGAATTTAATAAGCCTTGCTAGTATCTAAAGTCTTAAACAATTGAATCAGTCAGTGAATGTAAATTTAAAAAATATTTTAATGTTCAAGTACATAAAATTTTATTTAAGAAAAATCATGCTCAGTAAGCTTTAATCTTTCATTTTATTAGTTTAAATTCAGTTTTTATTTCTCAGTGATAGGATATCATCTTTGGAAGTTTTATTTTGAAACAGTATTATGTTTTTAAATATTAAGCCTTCTGCTTTTGAATAAGTGATAAAATTACTTTTAAATATTAACCCAAATTATCATATGAATTTGATAATTCATTGTTTGCACAATGAATTTATAAAATTCAAAAGATTGTTTTTGAAATGTAAAGAAGAAAACAGTATATTTGATTGATAAAGGATTTTTAAATCATAGAGAACTGCTTTGAATTTTGAGTGTACTTTCTAGCTTTGTGACTTTAACTTCTCTGAATTTTGGTATCTTTGTATTTGAGGAGGGATAAGTATATGCTCATCCCATGGAATCGCTTTTTAAATTTAAATGACCTAATATATGGGGGCCAGAGCATAGTACAGAAGGGCAGGGGCTTGCCTTACTCAGGAACTGAGCAGGTGTGATCCCTGGCACCCCACATCCTCCCCTGAGTGTCACCAGGAGTGATCCCTAGCACAGCTGGCGTGTCCCCAAAACACACAAACAAAATAAATGATACATTATGTGAAAAGTACTTGGCAGACAATGAGTGATAAAAAAAATTAGTCTACACATTAATTTAGTACTTAGTACATTCTTATGGAATTGCATATTTAAACTTTCTTTGTCTTTGGAGGTATTAGTAAATTTAAGTTATACAATAGAGTTTTTTCTTTTATCTCTTGTATCTGCTAAACAAATTGTAGTCATAAGGAAACTTGTCATGAATTTTATGTCTAACTTTGTCACATGTAAGGAAAAATTAAACTTGCAGTATCTTTTTTTTTTGGTTTCTAGAACTGGGTCAAGGAAAAAGTTACTGGAATAGACTCCGATTTTTGGATACCTGTGAATTTATTATAGAGATTTTTTCCAGATCGTTCTTCTGTAAATATTTCTTTCTGCCTGCTATTGAACTGACAAACGATCCAGTGGCAAATGTGAGGTATGGTATCAATCCAAGAAAATAGCTAAAATTTTCATTTTTTAATGTATGATTTTAGTGAATATTCACAAATTATTTTGGTCAACTGTAAAATCAAAGTAAAGAATTTATCATTTTGAAATTCTCAATAGTCTTAGCTGATGAGCATTGATCAGCCTTGGAAGCATCATCATTTTATGATGTCTGAGGTTTGATGTCCCCGGCTCTGTGGTACACACCTGCAGTCAGAGCAGGTAATGAGTAGACAATACTAATTTTATCTGGCTTCTAAAATTAAAGAAAAAAAGTTCAAAGTTTGTTTGGAAAGGAGCTGTCCATTTCAGAGCACCAGTTACTCAGAGAATTTAACTTGTGTTGAAGTCTTTTACAAAATATTTTGGGTCTGATTACCTTACATTTTTGAAATTCAGCTAATGTCAACTGGAATTGGGTTAATTAACTGGAAAACATTTGAAAATGGCTTGCTTGAGAGTTGATGGAACTTAGTTTGCTTTTTCTTTTCTTTCCAAACAAGAATTAATTTTTTAATGTAGTAAAAAAATGCATATGTGTGTTTATCATGAAATTTGTCATTTAGACCATTTTAAGTGTACAGTTTGGTGATATTAGCTACACGTATCCTATTTTTGAGTTATTTCAATATTGTATGATGAGTCAAGAGAAAGTAAATTCTTAAATTTCTGTATTCTGTGCTCATTATCTTTCCTCCGAACTTGAACTCAGATTTGTAGAAAAATATCCCTTGTCCCTTATCCAAGAATTTCTGAGCAGAGCTCCAGCGCCCCCTGCTGAAATTTCACAGGCTAGCTACACACTGTTTTCAAGCTCAAGAGACCCAAGTGTCCTTTTTATTCGACAGCTGGCAGGAGCCACCTGCAATTATATACTTTTTAACAGGAAGAATTGGCAAGGAGCTAGGAAGAGAAAGAGTTTCTGTGGAGAGAAAATATGCCAAGAATGGCCAAAAGATACTGAAAAACTCAAAGTTAGAATTTTATGAGTATAAAGTAAAGGGAACAGATTTAGAGATTTTGTTTTGTATTTGTGGTGTGAGAAAGTACAGAAAATTCAGCTGCATTGGATTCACTCTATAAATGAGAGGTGAGATAATTCATTTAGCATTTAGCACTTCCTGAATAGCTCATGTGTCAGATGGTGTTGGTAACAGTTTTTCAACGGAAGCTGTGGTCTGTTGTCATACCGGGTTCAATGGTGTGCTGCGGAAGCTTTTCCAGACTCTTGGGACTCACTCTCCTTGGTATTCGGGGCCCATGATGTCCCAGAGATCCATCCCAGGCCTCCTGTATGCAAAGCATGAGCTATTGAGTTTGCTTTCCAGCCCAATGTTGTGAATCTTTTTTTTTGTGGGGGAGGGGGAGGGATGCAGCTGGAGGGGGGATGAGAAGTTTGGGCCACACCTGTGCTGCTTAGGGAGTTGGGGCTCTTTGCTCAGGGGTCACTCCTGGTGGAGTTCAGGGGACCATATACAGTGTGGGGTATAGAACTGGGGTTAGCCACATGCAGTGATGTTGGTGCCTAGCCAGATCATGAGGATGAGTCCTCGGATGCTGCCCTGCAAGCAGGAAGCAGTATCCGGACCTCACTTTGAATTAAGTGGGCAAGCTGAAGCTTGTGATTCTGGGTTAATAAGTCTTCCTTCATCTGCCTTGGTCTTACATTAACTCCTGGCAGCACAAGAAAACAGCCCTTCTATAAACAGCCCTCCTGCTTATCCCAGATCCCAGGTGTGAGGAGGTCGTGACCTATGGAGGCACAGAGCCTGCATATTCGACCTTGTGTTCCTCCCCGGAGTTTGTGGCCATTTGCTTCATGGACATGGCAGGACAATGTATGCTTTGGTGTCCTTATGAGATATGTTTAGTCTGTGTCCCAACATTCCTTTGTTGATGATTTTTTTCTGCTTTGCTGAATTCTCTGCATGATAGGAAAGCAAATAAAAAGAGATAATGAAAAGCTCCTCTTTGCCACAGTGCCAGAGAGAGCTGTGGTCCTTTGTGCGTCTACATTCTTCTCACCTGACTTGTCTCTGCAACTCTGACTGGACTGACGGAAATTTCTCACAACGGGGGTAGAGGGAGGTGAAGGGAGGATGGGAAGTTTGGGTCACACCTGTGCTGCTTAGGGAATTATGGCTCTTTGCTCAGGGGGTCATTCCTGGTGGCGTTCAGGGGACCATATCCAGTGTAAGGTATACAACTGGGGTTAATCACATGCAGTGCAAGCACTTTGGTATCATATTCTCTTTCTGGCCTCCAAAGTTGTGATTCTTGGAAAACAGTTTGATGATGATCAAGCAGTTGGAAAAATTGAAAGGAATAAAATCATTTTTAGGCTTTCAGTATGACTGGTAGCATTGAAAGAGAGCAACACACCAATCAAAAAAGCAAGTGAAGATTAGCTGTCCGTTGTTTCACAAGCGCTCACTTTTTCTTAGGTAAGAGAGCATTGTGTAGCAGTTTGTCACGGTTCTCACTCTCCTGCTTTGACTGCACGCCAAAGAAATTGGTCCATCAACACCATACACATCTAGCTTTTGGAAAGATAGCACTTTCAAGAAACAGTGTCTCCTAATCATGGGCCTGGCATTGCTATAGACATAAATCACTACTGCAGCGGTGTGTCTATTGTGTAGGGCCTGCTGGGTTTTCTAGACCAACCTGAGGTTATAAAGGATCAAGTAGGTATGTACTCACTCTTAGTTGTGGCTGATTTTTCTTTAGGAAGTGTTTAAAATTTAAAATTCACTGAATCTTGAGGCTGGAGCGATAGCACAGTGTGTAGGGCCTTTGCCTTGCACGTGGTCAACCTAGGTTAGATTCCCAGCATCCCATATGATCCCCCGAGCACTGCCAGGAGTAATTCCTGAGTGCATGAGCCAGGAGTGACCCCTGTGCATTGTCGGGTGTGACCCAAAAAGCAAAAAAAAAAAAAAAATCACTGCATCTAGACAATATCAAGAGTGGAAAATGATGACTTATTTTCAGAGGAGCTGTCTCAGCCATTCAAAATGAAAAGAATCCTCTTTGGGGGGCTTGTAATTCCTTAGAGAGAACATCACCAGGCTTGTGAGCACCTCTGAGTGAGCTGTGTGGCTAAACGATCCCAAATATTCTGTATACGAAGACTTCCTTAGCCAGTTGCTCAGCCAAGAGAGCATCCTGGGAACACTCGGGTGGGACTTCATTGTCTTAAGGTTTGGTGCAGAGATAAAAAGTCAGATGGGAGAAATAGTGCCCGGGATTAAAGTGCTTACCTTGCACATGACTAACCCAGGTTTAATCCCCAGCACCCCAGGGGTGGTCGCTGAGCCAGGAGACACCCTGAACATTGAAGGATGTGGCCTCAAAGCAGACAAATAAGCAATACGTCAGTCATATCTGGGGAGCCTTTGCCCCAGTCCGTTTCCTTTGAGTGTCTTCTCCCGCCAGGCATCCTGTGCTTTCCTGCAGTTCCTGTCTCTACCTGATTCCTGCTTCTCCACCCACTTCTCCCTCTTGCTTCATCGCCTGGTACTGCCTGAATGTCAGTGCCCATCTCAGCTCCCACAGCAGCCGGGCTGTCCAAGATCAGATTCCGGGCTGCTTCCCAGCAGGAGACCTGAGCCATGTGTCCCCTTGGCTTTCCTAGCAAGTATCTACGGGCGTCTCAGGCTTAGTCTGTGATGATCGATTTCCCATCTTCCTCCTCTGCATGTCCTCCACTTGGAAGGAATCATTGCATCTTTTTTGCCACTTGCGCAGGAGAAAAACCACCCCATCCTGTCACCTACCCGCTGCCACCCCACTTTAAGTCCTCAGCACATCTCACTGAAATGAATCCGAGCATTGTTTGCTGCCTGCACGGAGGCCGCCCTTGTGTGCTGCCTGCCTTATTGCAGGAGCCTCACCTGGGCTTCCTTCCTTCTGGCCTGGACTTCAAGCTGCTAGAGTCAGTGCAGTGGCCAGACTTCCAAACGTGCTCAGATTATTGCCCTCTCCCACAAAAGCACTCCAATGGCTTTAATTTATTCTTATTCATTTTTTTTAATCACACTGAAAATAAAAGCCATTCTGCAAACGGCTACTGCCAGGTCCTGTAAAATCCTTCCTCCAGCCTGTTTGGGTCAGTTTGCTGCATAGAAGCCACACGGAGTCTAGCTCCCTCTACTGGGCCTTTGAGCGACTACAGCACCACCTTCACTCTTCCTATTCACGCAGTGCTCCTTTTCTTTTCATTTTTTTTTAATCTTTCATTTTTAAAAAAAATTTTTATTAGTGAGACACCATGAGGTGCAGTTGTAGACTTACACATTTTTGTGCTTGGGTTGAGCTCCCATTTGACCCAGCAATACCACTCCTGGGAATATATCCCAGAGAGGCAAAAAAGTATAGTCGAAGTGACATCTGTACTTGTTTGTTCATTGCCGCACCCTTTACAATAGCCAGAATCTGGAAAAAACCTGAGTGCCCAAGTACAGATGACTGGTGAAAGAAACTTTATTACATTTACACAATGGAGTACTATGCAGCTGTGAGAAAAGAGGAAGTCATGAAATTTACATACAAGTGGTACTACATGGAAAGTATCATGTTAATCGAAATGACTCAGAAAGAAAGGGATAGACATAGAAAGACTGCATTCATCTGGGGAACATAAAGTAACAAAATAGGAGACTAACACCCAAGAATGGCCGAGATTAGTACCAGGAATTTTACTCTTTTAATTTTTTTACAAAATTCGCTGTCACTGTCACTATCCTCCTGTTGTTCATCGATTTGCTCGAATGGACCCAGTAATGTCTCCACTGTGAGACTTGTTGTTACTGTGTTTGGCATATCAAATACATTACAGGTAGCTTGCCAGGCTTTGCCGTGTGGGTGGAATACTCTCAGTAGCTTGCCGGGCTTTCTGAGAGGGGCAGAGGAATCGAACTCAGGTTGGCTGCGTGCAAGGCAAATGCCCTACCCACTGTGCTATCACTCCTGCCCATTAAAAGATTATGAAAGTAATTTATTAGAATGGAGTATGTAAAGTATAATGAATATAAAGTATGTGTGCCTTTACTTCCTTAAAGAGGGACTGGGGAGATGACTTTGGTCCGGGACTCAGGGCTTGGCGTGTGCAAGGACTCAAGTTTGTTTTCAGACTCCCCCCCTCCATCTTTTCTTATTTTCTAGGTTTCCCGCATCTCATCTTGGAGTTCCTTGATCTTTTCCACAGCTACTGTTATTTTTCTGTCCAGACCTTCTGTTGCTATCATTGTTTTTAATACCATCCACCACACTCTTTATTTCTGTTACAGTTTTCTCATTTCGACTCTCATACTTTCTTGTTGCTGACTGTCTGTGCCATTGTTCTTTGGGCTCATCTAACATCCTCCACATAGTTCCACTAACGTCATCCTCGGAGATGACAGGGCTATCTGTTGCTGGTTGAGTTTCCCTGTTACTGTTCTCACTCATTGACCCAGTGGGGTTCTACGCATGCGTCTTCCCATTGGGTTCTCTGAGCTCCTGCTGTGCTGAGGGTCAATCTTTGTAGTTAGCCCCCGCTGTGGGAGGGTCTCTGAGGGTTAAGGATGGACATTGCTTTTTTCCTTTCCTGCCCTTTGTTGCTCAGTGACAGGAAGGTTAACTGTGAGCAGTGTGATTGGATGCAGAAAAAGGTCTACGAACATATGTGGCCACATAGTTGAGAAGATATGGACCCAGGCCTGCTGATAGGGTGTGGAGGTCAGGTGTGGAGGCTGCCAGGACCTCGCTGGAAGGGAGGGCATTCTGCCTCGGTACCAAAGACGCCCCAGGGATGTCAGCCAAGAGACTAATCTCATCTGCGAGGGTATTGGAGCAGGCAGAGGTGCTATTCCTTAGGTCTGCACATAAACATCACCTTTGCACTGACACGGAAATCCTCTCTGAAGACCTGTTTGAAAATTATGTCCTCTCCTCTGGTGTGCCCTCACCTCATTACTCTGTAGCACTGGTCATGTCCTGACATTTGACTTATATATTTCCTCTTTCCCTGCCCCAGACTAGAATGTAAGTTCCAGGATAGCAAAGGATTTTGTTGATTGTATTCCTTCTCGAGTGTCAGCACCAGAAGAATGGATGTTGCCCTTGTTATACACACTCCGTAATTTATTGCTTCATAATAAAGGAATTCCAGGCTCTCGACAAAGTGAATGTTCTTACTCCTCTTCTTATTTGCTAACGTCACTCAAAAGGAAACCCCGTTTGATGTGTTACAGGATAAAACTTTGCTGCCTCTTGCCTAAAGTGAAATCAACTCTGAACATCCCTGCAGATAAGTATTTACTTCAGCAATTAGAAATGTGTGTGAGAAAACTCCTGTGTCAGGAAAAAGATAAGGATGTTCTGGCTATTGTGAAAAGAGTAAGTATCTCCCTGACCCGAGCATTTGTGTATCTGGCCTGGAAATGGTGCAGAGCACGCTTGATAGGATAGCACTATGGTAAAATTAAACCGTGCAGGAGGGCTTAGAATTAGTTGTTGATTTGGTCGGTGTGTGATCCAAATAGATCTGAAGTCTCCTCCTTTAGGGGACAAGCCATGTCCCCTGTATAATCCACAATGATTATATCAGTGAGTGAACTTAGCACGTTTTAAGTTCACACTAACAAATACTGTTCATTAATATTACTAATTTAACCAGACTTTATTTATAAGCACCTGTAATCCAGACACACTTTACCAGTAAAATTAGGAAAGCCACAATTGACATAAACTTAGCTGAGAGGAGGGCTTTGGATAGTTCAGTGTGCCTGTCTGCTTTTGAGATGCATTTGGCCTGAAGACTTCTAGGGTATCAAGGTCTTATTAGTAAGTGGCAAAACCAGGACTAGAGTACCAGTCCAGGAGCATTCTTTTTGCAATAAGATAACATAGTATCTCAGTTTCTTGTCTTCTTTTAGTATGTATAATGCATAATATATACACATGTATGTACAAGTGAATATGTACATGCAATAAATGTATATGTGTGTTAATGGAATATTTTAATTCATTTATTTTTTTGCTTTTTGGGTCACACCTGGTGATGCACAGGAGTTACTCCTGGCTATGCAGGTCACACCTGATGATGCACAGGGGTTACTCCTGGCGGTGCTCAGGGGGCCATATGGGATGCTGGGAATCGAACCCGGGTTGGCCACGTGCAAGGCAAACTCCCTATCCGCTGTGCTATCACCCCAGCCCCTATGGAATATTTTTAGTATGTGATCTTGTTATCTGGTTTGTTGGAGATGTCCAGCAGGAAAAGTTAGTTTCTTGGCCTTGGGTCACAAAACTGACGTTTTCATGTATTAGAAGGATGAGGGAAGGGTGGGAAGGAAGAAATGAGTTAGAAGTGACCTAAGAACTTTGGGGAGAGGGCCTTGGGCCTTTTGTTTATGGTTAAGATGCAATGACATTGTCCATAAAACCACAGACATTAGCACTATTACAGCCATCTAATTCTCCAGTAAAAATGAAACTGAAGAAAGAAATTGGAATTAGTCAAATGATGAAATATTTCGATAGTCATCCGGAACTGTAGAATCAACAAGAAAGACTTTGTTAAAAGACAGACTTAAAGAGGTCCCGTTTCTGAATCTGAAATTGAGCTTGAGGATTCAGCGGTTAGGTTTGATTCTTGTTTTGGGGCCACACCTAGCAATGCTCAGAGGCTTCTCCTGACTTTGTGTTCAAGGGCTCCTTCCAGTGGTGCTCAGGAGACCCCGTGATGCTGGGACAGGCCCGGCCTACCTGCAGGCAGCCCCAGGAGCTCTCTCCCCCCACGAGATGCCTCTTTTGCTCATGTCTAAATAGCTAGGCATTGATGGTGAGAAAAAAAAAATGTTGATTCCTTCCTTCCCCGCTCCACTAGTAATAAATGCTAGATCACTTCACTTAATCACTTAACTTCCCGTTAGTCATCGATTTGCTCGAGCGGGCGCCAGTAACGTCTCCATTTGTCCCTGTCGCGTGCTAGTGTAGCCCAATGGCATCTGTTCGCTCCGGGAACATGAAGGGCCTCAAACCGATCATTCATGATCTTGACGAAGAAGTCTGACCATCTGGTAGGTGGGTGGCCACTTGCTCTTTTGACATCCCGTGGAATCCAGTTGGTAACAGCTCTAGTCCAGCGGTCGTCTTTAAATCTCATTACGTGACCAGCCCATCTGATTTTTGACACCTTGGCAAATGAGACAGCGTCCCTGATTCTTGATCGTCGACGGATGTCGGAACTCCGGATTCTTTCTCTCATTTGAGTGAAACGTGATATTCCAAGCAGAGCTCTTTCTATTCTTCTTTGGGAGACCTGAATAGCGTTCTCATCTTGTTTGCGTAGGGCCCAGGTCTCTGAGGCATATGTTAATGCAGGAAGAATAGTGGAATCAAAGAGATGTGCCTGGAGCCGGAGGTTCTTCGTCCTCTTAGCTATTTCTTCGACGTTCTGGAAGGCGTTCCAAGCCGCTCTCTTCCTCCTGCGCAGCTCGGGTGCCAGGTCATTTGTCATGTTGACCTCTCGACCTAGGTACACATAGCTGTTGCATTCGGAGATGGTCGTTCCGTTGAGAGTGAATGGGGCATCAGGAACGAGGCTGTTTCTCATAAACATTGTCTTCGTAAGATTCAGCTGTAGTCCTACCTTTCCACACTCACGGTCAAAGTCGGCCAGCATTTGTGTCGCTTGGCTGATGTTTGGTGTTATTAAAACAATGTCATCAGCAAAGCGGAGGTGGTGTAGTTGCCGACCATCTATCTTCACTCCCATTCCTTCCCATTCCAGTCGTCGCATGATGTTCTCGAGGGTGGCACTGAAGAGTTTTGGTGAAATGGTATCACCCTGCCGCACCCCTTTCTTGACATCAATGATCACTTCTTTGTAGAATGGTGAGATCCTGGTAGTGAATCCGCAATACAGCTCACAGAGGATCCTGATGTATTGGGCTTGAATGCCCTGATTGGCTAGGGCTTCAATGACTGCTTCCGTCTCAACAGAATCATTTGATTTAAATGCTAGATACTTCTTTTTAAATTTAATTTATATCTTATTGAGATTCTGGGGTTTACAGTGCTGTGAATGATTTGCCATGCACATCATTGCAATACCACACCCATCCCGTTGTGCGCCCTCTCTCCCAAGGAACCCAGCAGCCTCCCTTCTGACCCCCAGCCTCATTTCAGCTGTGTGGCTCAGTTCTCCCATCTGGTTGGCTCAGTTCTCCTATCTGGCTCTGCCGGATGTTTTCTGACTTACTAAATTTGCAATTTAAGAAATTTAAACTACAATTTAAGTTACTTTTCTAAAAGCACTTTTTTTTTTTTGCTTTCTGAGTCACACCCGGTACAGGGGTTACTCCTGGCTCATGAGCTCAGGAATTACTCCTGGTGGTGTTCAGGGGACCATATGGGATGCTGGGAATAGAACCCGGGTCGGCCACATGCAAGGCAAGCACCCTACCTGCTTTTGCTATCGCTTTATTCCCTGAAAGCACTTTAAAAAAAAAATTTTATTAGTGAGACATCATGAGGTACAGTTGTAGACTTACAAATTTTTGTGTTTGGGTTTCAATTATACAATGATCAAGTACCCATCCCTCCACCAGTGCCCATTTCCCACCACCACGGATCCCAGTATCCCTCCCACCCCCCATCCCCCCATCCCACCCCACCTCTGTGGCAGGGCATTCCCTTTTGTTCTCTCTCTCTTATTGGTGTTGTGGTTTGCAAAAGAGGCAATGGGTGACAATCATGTTTGGTCTATAGTCTACTTTCAGCACGTAAAAGCACTTTTTAAAGCTTGAGATACAATGCAAGCTAATCCAAGATATAATAAAAAAGAGATGACACAGGATCAGTAGACAAAATGAAATAGTTAAATCAAAAGATTAATATAGGTTTATTATGGAGTACAGCTGTATTTTAAATATGAAATCCACCTTTCCCATGCATGAAAGTTCTGTTTAGCAAGCCCAGGAACTGGTATGAAAACACTGAGGGAACTATTTCAAGTTTTAGCATGAAAAAGGAATAGCTTAGCCTAATCAGTTTTTCAAGATGGGAAGTAATTTTACTTAATAGGGATATTTCATGGCATGAATTTAAAAACCAGGTATAAAAATAAGGCTCCAAGGGCTGGAGTGATAGCACAGCAGGTAGGGTGTTTGCCTTGCACACGGCAGACCCGGGTTCGATTCCCAGCATCCCATATGGTCCCCTGAGCACCGCCAGGAGTCATTCCTGAGTGCATGAGCCAGGAGGAACCCCTGTGCATCGCCAGGTGTGACCCAAAAAGAAAAAAAAAATAAGGCTTCAGATTAATGGTATATTTGCAATGGACAGCTTTCACGTCTGAATATATGCATCACTTTACTCTCTCAAATGTGACTGAGAACTCATCTCCTTATGCAAGGACAGAACTCTGCTTTTGACAGTCTGTTGATTGAAATAATTTATTTCAGATTAATGTATTCTATAAACCAAAGTTTAAACCAAGAGAACACATTCTGAGTAATGTTTTCTCTTTTGCTCACAGTGCCGCAATATTGTTTCTGTAGAAAGGAGCCAATATCTTAAGCCAAATGATAGCTTGCTTCATATATATTTAAGTAGGAGTTTTTGAAAAATTAAAATATTATATTTTGTTTCTGAAATATATTCAGAAATTCAGCAAAGAGTGGCAGTGAAGCTTATTAAAAATAAAGCACATGCATCAGTATTTAAAACATTCTTCTCGACTTGGTCTTTCTTAGGTTAAAACTTTTAAAAGTGTAAGTGTATAGCTGGCATTAAAATATAGATGTCCATTTAAATACAGAGGTTTTCTAAATTTAGCCCTCAGTACGGGCAGAAGCCTCCACCTGGAAATTCTCTCCAGAAAAAGCATCTCTTTGAGAAATGACTAACTGACTTAATTGGATTACTTTTGAATAATTTTTGAACCCTTCTTCCTAGACGGTGTTGGAGTTGGACAGAATGGAAATGTCTGTGGATCCTGTAAGTACCCTCTTTTACCTGGCATTGGAAGGAATATTTAAAAATGGGTAGAAACTCATCATTCATTCTGCACAATTTTATTTCAAGCAATATCAGGCAAATCTTTATGAGAAAGACTTGCTGGATCAAGAGAAAGAAAGAGAAGAACTACTTCTTTTGGAAATGGTATGTTGTTTCTCACGTGTATTTACCTACTCATCTGACCGGTATTAACATCCCTTGTGTTATTGAACTGAGTAATTTCATTTAATTGTATACTCTCTCTTCTGTTCCTGATCAGCCAAAGAAAGATTCCATTTTTTTGTTTGTTTGTTTGTTGTTCTATGAGCTGGAAGGAAAACTGCATTTAATAAGGCCCTTTTAAATAAAATTACTTTATTGAAGTCCAATTGACCTACAGCTAACTGCATATATTTGTAGTGTGCAATTTGATGACTCTTGTCATATAGAAATATCCAGAAATCATGCCACAATTAAAATACCAAACGTTTCTATTCCCTCAAAAGTTTCTTCAGGCCTTATGTAATCTACATTTTCTACCTCACTTCCCAGCAGCTTACTGACCTTTTCTCACTTTAAGTTGGTTTAACATCAAGTCTCAAAAAAATGGAGATGTTACTGGGCCTGCTCGAGCAAATAGATGAACAACGGGAGGGCAGTGTTTGACAGTTGTATTTTCTGAAACTTACTTAAATGGAATATGTTATGGATTTGTTTGGGGAGCTGCTTCTTTTCATCAGCATAATTATTTTGAGGTATATGCATGTTGCCTATTTTAGGGCATTCTTTTTCTGAGTATTCCATGTCATGGATATACCACAGTTATTTATATACATTCTAAACGGCTGCTTCTAGTTTGGGAGATATTACAAATGGAACTTCAGACATATGTGAAGAAGTCTTTGGGCTGATGAATGTTTAATTTTTCCCACGAGGAAATACCTAGAAACAGAATGGCTGGATCCCATGGCAGTACCTATTTGACTTACCAACAAAAGGAAAATGTTTTACAATGTGGAAGGCTCATTGACATCCTCACATGTGTCAGGGGAGCTCCTCATCACCCTGAAGTTCCTCTCCTCGCCTGCAGAATGCGTGTGCAGGGCACTTCCTGGGGGTTCCTCCTGCCCGTCGCCGATACCCTTGATTCTGAACATCTGTTCTTTTGGCTCCTAACTCTCCTTTCTCTCTTTCGGTTGTTTCTTCTTACATTTTTAAGGTGGGTTGTTTCGCTTCCAGACATGTGAGAGTTCTCTTTGTACACTCTGAATATATATCTCCTTTGTCAGATTATGTAGCATCTTGTGCATTTGTTTTCTTAAGAGTTTGTGGCTTTCTTCTTCATTTACTTGATGGTGTCTTTTGAAAAGCAGTGTGTAGTTGGGAATGCATTTTGGCAGTAGTGCAGTTACTTTGCATGCATTAGGCCCTGAGTCTGGTCCCCAGCACCACAATAAAATAAAGTAAATAAAACAAAAATACAAAGCCAAAGCTTTAAAGTGGCTTACTTAAAAACCGAGCATACTGATTTTTTCCTTCTCCTTTTTTGTGTTGCAAAAATTCCTTTGTCTGTCCCCACTTTACAAAGACTTTTCTCCCTATATTTTGTTCCAGAAATCTTAGTCTTAGGCTTAGGATTTGTGATCCATATCATTAAGTTTTATGTGTGTTTAACTTCTGCTGTGTTTAGCAATGATTCAGTTATCCCTACAACATTCATTGAAAACTTTGCTTTGCCCATTGACTTGCCATAGTATCTTTTTGTTTTTTAATTTTTATTTATCTATTGTTTTTGCATCACACCTGGCTCTGCACTTAGGCATTACTCCTGGTGGTGCTCAAGGGACCATATGGAATGCCGGGGATCCAACCCGAGTTGGCTGCATGCAAGGCAAAGGCCCTCCCTGCAGTAGTATCGCCCCCAACTATAGTATCTTTAAACCAACAAGTATTTATATGTTTATATGCTCATTTCGATTTTTTCTTGAGATGTAAAATTTTATTGATAATTACTTCCAGTTGTACGGCATAATGATTTGCTATTTCCATATTCTATATTTCTATATTTTATATTTCTATATGCTCCAAAATAATTACCACCTAAGTCGAGAGGTGTATGTCTGTTTCTCATTCCCCGATGTGTTTCATGGATTTATACTTTCATCTTTTTGACCATATGAAGTTATCTTGATCTCAGTTACTATACAGTAATTCTTGAATTATTTTATTTTTATTATAACACCACGATTTACAAAGTTGTTCATACACTTGTTTCAAGTATACAGTATTCTAACACTAATCCCAGCATTGGTCAACCTTCTATTCACTGAAGTCCCCAGTTTCCCTTCTACCCCCCAAACCTGCCCCCTAAGCAGGCACATGACAATTTTACTTCATATTGCCTGCTACAACAAAGTGGAAAATGAAATCATCAGAAACAAGATCAATAAGAGTCAATTTGTTCTCAGAGTGATGTTCCTAAAGTCATTTTCTCAGGGTTCACTGAGCTGGCCCGATGCAATGTGGTGGATAGAATTGGGGTCAGCCACATGCAAGGCAAGAACTTAACCCTTCTACTATCTTTCTGTCCCCTGTATTTTAACATACTGCAGGAGTGCTTCTTGGGGTCCAGTGCCTATGCATTTAATTTCTTTTCTTTTGTCTTACTGCAAGGGCCAGGACCTCCAGCCCAATAAACACCTCCAATTGAATAAAAGAGATGCCGGTGGCCATTTTTGTCCTTTTACCTGCTGAAGGGGAGAGCAGTTCGGTTTTTCACACAAGGCTTGATAATGCAGTGGTGCTCAGGATTTACTCCTGGCTTTGTGCTCAGGGATCACATTGGGTGCAGCTCTTGGTGGGACCATATGTGGTGCCAGGGATTGAACCTGGTCAGGTGCATGCAAGACAGGAGTCCAACCTGCTGTATTCCAGCCCCAAGAAATACTTATTTTTTCCCTTCTTTCCATTGATGTACTGATTTTTTTCATTTATTTTTCAAATGGTAAATAGTGTTGTATTTTGTAGATAAAGATTTGATTATTATCTATTGTCCTTTCTTGTTGAATTCTTGGCTAATAAGGGTTTAAGGACTTTGTGTGTGTCTCTACATAAATATTCGGTGAATTGATTTATAATTTTCTTTTTTTGTGTATCATTTAAAATTTTGTATTAGAATTATTATGGTCTCAAAAATGAGATGGATAGTTTCACCACTTTTTAAATTTTCTGGCGAAGTGTACATCCTTGAACTTTTATACTTTGCTAACTGTTAACCTTATACCACTTAATGTAGTTGTGATGCAGATTCATATCATTCTTTAGAGTCTAGGTGTGGTGTGAATTACATCTGTATTGAAAACCCTATCACACTGCTGTAAATTGTCATCTATTTCTTGAAGAACTTAAGACAGTAAACTTGTTTTTACAGGCTTTGGCTGACCCAAGTTCGATTCCTCCGCCCCTCTCGGAGAGCCCGGCAAGCTACCGAGAGTATCTCGCCCGCACGGCAGAGCCTGGCAAGCTCCCCGTGACGTATTCGATATGCCAAACACAGTAACAACAAAGTCTCCAATGGAGACGTTACTGGGCCCGCTCGAGCAAATCGATGAACAACGGGAGGGCCTTTACCTTTACCTTTGCCATTCTAGATCTCTTCTTTCATGGCTTCAGGAAAAGATTTTGTCTGCTACGTCCCTCTTAGTATCTCCATCCCTCCCCAAACTCATTATTTTAGTTTGACAGTTCCCCCAAAAGGCACATTTCTGTAGGTGTTAAAAGATTACATTTCTGAAAGAATCCAGATTTCTTTAGAATACCTTTTTGAAATTTGACATTGAAAATAGAAATACAATCTTAATTTCTGTTAGTAAACTGCAAACCGTAGTGTGTATCTCTAAAATGTAGTCATTTCTCATGAGAACAGTTTTCAGAAGGAACCTAGATATTATGTCTAATACTAAGAGTCTATCTTCATGTTAGGAGCAGTTAGAGAAAGAGAAGCAACAGAACGATGGACGGACCTTCAATGACAAAACCTTTGATAAGAAACGTAAGTCATTGTTTCCATGACCTCACTGCTCCCTTCTGCATCCTGAAAGGTCGTGCTGAGTTTTGAGTTTGCTGTGGAAACATCACGTTCCTCTTTTTCTTCTGCCAACGTTCTTAATGATTGGGTGCTGAATATATTGCAGATCTTGGTTAACACACGAGGAAGTGGTGGGGCTCAGTGCAAAGGTCCAGTTCTTTCCAAAGAAAGCATCCACCTAATAATGGCAGGGAGACTGTGAAGTTGAGCAGGGAATGACTAAGACTAAAATTTATAAACACAAAATATCTTGCTTAACTAGGAATTGTGACTTACAGTCTTTGTGTTATCTGTTTATGGCGATAACTAGGAGGGCATAATAACAGAGTTTATTTCAGGTAAAGACATGACAGTAAAGACTCCAACAATTCAGCCCAAGAGCATCCCCATTTCTGTTCCTGGACCCTCTTCTGGAATCCCATCGACAAGTAAGAAACAGTTTCTTTATGTGTGTCTCTCTTTCCTTTAATAAAAACTTAACTACAGGCAAAGGCTTTCTACTAGACAAGGTTCAGTACTCTGAAGCCCAGTGCTGGAGGGCGGAGGCAAAACCCCTCTACACAGTGCTCGGGGCCCCCAGGACCAGGCCTAATTGTGGTGCTCCGGGTGCCCGGGCAGCCTCAGAGACCAACCCAGTGCCCTTCACACAGGCCCTATCAGGCTTGTACTCTACAACTTGAGTCACAGTCTTTGCCCTTGAAGTACCTTTGCTTTTGTTTGTTGGGTTTTTGTTTGTTTTGATTTTGTGCCACACCTGGCTCAGGGCTTACTTCTGGCTCTGCACTCCTGGGGGGCTCAGGGAACCATATGGGGTGCAGGGGATTGGACCTGGATTGGCCACATGCAAGGCAAACATCTTACCGGCTGTCCTGTTACTCCAGCTCGAAGTAGCTTTGCTTCTTGTTGTTAGTTGTTTGGATCGCTGTCGGCAGGCAGTAGAGGTAAGACATCCACAGGTCCAACTCAGGGCAGGAAACTCCATGGGTCTTGTGTTTTACTGAGAATGGTGGTTAGGTGGCCAGGGAATGGGCATTCAGCAGCTAAAGAGGAACTGAACAGTTGCATTTTTCTTTTGCTTTTTACTTTAGGCAAAGAAATCAAGAAATCCAAATTGATTCGAAGCCAATCTTTTAATAATCAAGCTTTTTATGCAAAATATGGCAACTTAGACAAGTGTACTAGGTATGGTATCATATGTTTTTTCACTGCAAAATGTTTGCATTCTTAGAAAACCAGGATTAATTTTTTTTTTGGTCATTCAGTAATTTGTATGTTTTTGCCTATAAAAACTGCTATATTAAAAGAATAGTAATCTAGAAGTTTTCCTTACAACATCCTAGTGTCCTGGCATGAGAGCTAGACCACTACTGTGGCTGTGTATTACTGTGACACAGTGACATAGTGTATTACTGTGACACAGTGACATAGTGTATACCAGGATTTACATTACATTTCGTTGGGAGGATGCTATGTCACTTAGGCCTCTCCACTGTTAACCACTGTTAACTGGGTGTGGACGCATCCCATATATGAGGAGGATGTGGACCTTCATTTGCTTTTAAAATTATTTCTTACCTAGGAAGAAGTCTCTGAAATTTATTTGGTGATAAAGTGACCATAGTAGCATTTTCCTGACAATATCTCATTTGAATGTGTAATTTCCCCTTTGGCCCTAGCAGTAAAATAATAAAACAGTCAGATTAGGAGAGAATCCGCATAAATAAAATGACCTTGGTTTTTTAAATATTTGTTGTATACGTTCATAAATAACAATAGCATATCAGTTTATATTCAATTTGGAGGAAGACAACGTACCTATCAAGAAAAATAAGTATTTTTCTTTTCTTAATCAAGATATATTTACTCCAGATTTTCAGCTGTTTTTGACATGACTAACAGATGATCTAGATCAATGTTTCTAAACCTTTTTCTGACCTTGGCCTTCTTCAAACTTTGCTTTCTTCCCGTGGCCCCTTGTCCTACTGGTTGGCCCTAATCTCGTGCCATGGCCCTTTATTTATGAGATCTTTACCCTTGAGATATGCTGGGGGCTAGGGTCATATAAAGGTAAAGGTAAAGGTAAAGGTAAAGGCCCTCCTGTTGATCGTCTATTTGCTAGAGTGGGCCCAGTAACGTCTCCATTGGAGACTTTGTTGTTACTGTGTCTGGCATATCGAATACTCTCGGTAGCTTGCCGGGCTCTCCGAGAGGGGAGGAGGAATCGAACTCGGGTCGGCCATGTTGGCCGCTTGTAAGGCGAACGCCCTACCTCTGTGCTATCACCCCAGGGTCATATAAATGTCATATAAATATCCCAAAGGGACCACAGATGAAAATTATATAAATAGAGGGACACAGCATGAGGTAGAGGCTCAACATGTAAGATAGGGGTCCACCAGAAGGTAAGAAGGTTGGAAAGGGGGTGTGGTTGGGAAAAGGTTGAAAAACACCTACCTAGACCCTGATCATTCCATCTATCTAGAGTTCTTAGCCAGTAAAGGTCATATTAAAGGCCCTCCCATTGATCATCGATTTGCTCGAGCGGGCCCAGTAACGTCTCCATCGTGAGACTTGTTGTTACTGTGTTTGGCATATGGAATACGTCACGGGGAGCTTGCCAGGCTCTGCCGTGCGGGCGAGATACTCTCGGTAGCTTGCCGGGCTCTCCGAGAGGGGCGGAGGAATCGAACTCGGGTCGGCCATGCTGGCTGTGTGCAAGGCAAATGCCCTACCGCTGTGCTATCGCAAAGTCATGTTAAGATAGCAAAAGAGATTAGAACCAAAATAAGTCTTTTCCAAGAAAATTTTATCTCTGCAATCTGTCTTGTGTGTATATCAGTAGAAAAATTGTTATTCTGAAACAGCCAAAGAGGCAGGAGATTCTTCTACGTGATCTGCCAAGTACTTGTGAGATGTAAAAAATATTAGGAAGGAGAAATGAAAGTAGCAAGTGTGTTTAAGAGACATAGAGGAAAACATTTAACCATTCGAGAAAGGCCAAGTACACGGTGACTGGGGTTAAAAGAAGCATGTTCTTGTATTCTAAACAAAATCATGTTCTTTTTTTTCCTAGTAAAAATTCTACAACAGGATATGCACCTTCTGTCTCAGGGTTAGCAAAGACTTCCGTGGTCTCATTAACTGGTAGGTAGAAATCTGAGCTCTTATAAATAGATAAAATTAATAAAATTATTTTGCTTAAATGACCTATTTGTTTTTTCATTTCCCCCCAAAAAAATCTCGCTTTATCAAGTACCCAAGATGTTCAACTCTCCCCTAGCAAGATTGAGTATGCTGTTCTATTTTCACTATGTCAAGAATCAGAATTTAATATTTTTAAAAGAGAAGGGGAAAAAAAAATCAAGCGCTAGGTGTTACTATATCCTGAGGACTCATGGCAGCAGAGTCTAAGAATTTGCTCTGTTGTTTTGAGGAGATAAAAATAGTAGGACTTCAGTGAAGGACATATGCCAGTAAATACCCATGGAATTATATATTTGGAGGTTTATTTCGGGGATCTGAAAACTTCTTCTTAAAGGGCCAGCTAGTAAGTATTTTGGACTTTGTGAGCCAAATTGGTTTCTGTTTCAATTACTCAACTCTGCCATTAACTCATAGTAGCTGTGGCTGGTGAGAATATATGGAGAGGTCTGGTCATGTGCTGACAAAACTTCATTTTCAAAGGCAGCCAGTGGACGTGCTTTGGCCGCTGGGGCTGTAGTTGGCTTTCCTCTTGGCTAATATAATAGAACCAAGAACTGCAGTATGAGTAAGGGAGAATATATTGCTAGTTGAAAATCATAATATTGATTTATGATCATTTTTTGAGTAAATAATAGCAGATCTTAGTCTGAAAATTAAAAAGGCCTGTTAACTTTCCCTTTGAGGTTACACTTGGAGTGTTAATTCTTTTTTATTCTCAGAAGGAACACAGATGTGCAAGATTCTGTTGCATGTCCCACATCTTTATGATCAACTTAACTGTCATTGGACACTTTGGATGATTCCAATTCTTAGCTATAGTACTGAGTGCTGCAGTGCATAATGGTGTGCGTATGTTCTTTTGAATGAATGATGGGTATAGGGAAGTTGACGCTGGTGGTTCCGCATTATTATATGCCTAAAACCCAACTATGAATAACTCTGTAAATCAATGTCCTAGCTTGTACCTGGCGTTGCTCCTGGCAGTGTTGGGGGGACCGTGTAGGTTGTGGGGATCCCAGCCAGGGCCAACATGTGTCAGGCAAGCACTTCAGCCCCTGCCCTCGCTCTCTCTCTCTGGTCCCTCTGCAGATCATGTTTTCATTTTTCCAGAGCCTTTTCATGCTTTCCGCACTAAAGCATTAGCTTCATGTAAAGGCTACTGAATGGTTCTTCAGGATAGATGGTATCTTAAGAAGGTGGGATGTAGGGCCAGAGAGATAGTACAGTGGGTGGCATGCTTACCTTGCACAAAGCGGACCCAGGTTTGATCCAGGCATACAGTGCCCCAAGGTGACCAGAAGAGAGCCCTGAGTGCAGAGCCAGGGGTGACCTTTGAGCACTGCTTGGCGTGACAAATACCTCCCACCCTCTGCCCCTCAAAAAAATAAAATAAATAAAATAAAAAGGAAGAAAGAAAAAAGAAAGAAAGAAACTGGAATGGATTGGTAATAGAAACTTATTGAACTAAAGTTAGGGCTATAAGCAGTAACAAAACTTGATCACTCTTAGTTCACCAAAGTCGTGAATTCTATTTTGAATTTGGGCTATATCCAGTGGTGCTCAGGGCTTACTCCCGGCTCTGCCCTGAGGGAACCCTCCTGGCCGGGCTTGAGGAACCCTATGGGACACCAGGGATCAAACCCAGGTCTGCTGCATTCAAGGCAAGCACCAGGTCACTATACTACTGCTCCCCAAGGCTGTTTGATTTTTACCCTCTAAGTCTCATTGTGACATATAAAGACAAGAGAGCAAGTCTTCGTGATCCGACATAGAGGGCATATTTGTAAAAACCAAAACTACAGATATCAGCAGGGGCACAGATAAAAGCATGGTGATGGATCCATGCAATGGAATAGTATTGGTTGACATAGCAGTACCAGCGGATCTCAAAAATAATCATGCTGAATGAAAGATGTCAAAAGATAGGTACCGTGTGAATCCACCCCGTCCATCTCTTTTCTAGAGAAAATTCTAGAAAAGGTGAACCGATGACAGTGCCAGGAAGCAGATTAGAGGCTGTGTGGAGCTTGGGAGGGGCCGGGGGCTGGAGTTGGAGTGGGGGAATGGGTGGGCTCTAGCTTTAGTGGCGGCTTGCTGGGTCTCTCAGTCCAAATCTTACCCCTTCGCGGCTTATTGTGTGTTGTTTCGACCTTAGTAAAGCTGGTTTCCAAGAAAGCAGTGTGCCCTGTCCCTGGAAGTCAGGTCCACGGTGCCGAGTGTGTTCAGCGTGTCCCACTTCCTTCCTGCAGATGACTCGTTCCAGTCGAGGGATGTCAGCAGTGCTGCGCCTTCCTGTTCTTCAAACTCGGCCCTGCCAAGCACCTCCCGCGGCTCGGTGGATCCAAAGAGCAGCGGAAGCAAAGACATGCAACCACGGAAAGCTTCTTTGTAAGTGACCCAGGGAGCGGGACCCCGGTTCTTCTCTTTGAGTGTTCTTGCCTCCCACTGAAATACCGCCCAGCGAATGGGTGTGTCTGTCAGGAGGACACATTCTATCCACAGGGACTATGATCACACGGGCCTCTGGACTGGCGAGCACAGCAGCGGGTGTTCTTGTTATGGCCAAGACCTTCCCCCGCAGGGATTCGTCAGAAAGCTGGGAAGGGTTCTCCCCAAGTGGCTAACAGCTGTGTGTTCTGCTGTGCCCTGTTTGCGTGCAGGGGCTGAGATCTCTGAAGAGATATGGGGTGTCGTTGTACCCTTTTGCACACTTCTTAGCTCAGTGAGATGCACAGTGCGACCCTAGAGACTCAGAAAGGTGGAGATCCAGGATGACACTTCAGAAACGAGTCTGGAGTTGTGAGTCCAGTTGTCTGATTTCTAGACTCTTCACGTCCCTCCAGGGGCGTGTTCTGAAGGCTCTCTCGTCTCCACCCACTGCATTCTCTTTTTTTGGATTGTTTGGTTTTGGGCCTCACCCAGTGGTGCCAGGGATTATACCTGGGTTTGCACTCAGGGATCCCTCCTGGTAGCACTCAGGGGACCGAGTGGGGTGCCAGGGATTGAACCCAGGTCAGCCGCGAGCAAGGCAAGTGTCTTCCCCACTGTACTATCGCTCTGGTCTTCCTTATTTTTTTTTCTTACTACTATTTATTTCCTTTGATTTAAACATGTCAGAGGGTTATACCTTCAAAATCTTCATTCTGATAGATCCTGTGACTCAGCCATTGTCCTGCATGCTAGTTACAGGCAGCCCCTTTACCTGACAGGCCTGCCTTGGACATGCCCCCTTAGACCCCCTTGACAGGGCAGCTATTTCATGTGATGGTGCTGTTCTTTCACTAGGACACCTGTGCCATCCATGAGAAAGGAATCAGTACAGGACAGAGATTTTCTTTTAAACATGTAGCACTATAGTGCTGTCCTCCTGTTGTTCATTGATTTGCTCGAGAGGGCACCAGTAATGTCTCCGTTGTGAGACTTGTTGTTACTGTTTTTGGCATATCGAATATGCCACGGGGAGCTTGCCAGGCTCTGCCGTGCGGGCAGGATACTCTCGATAGCTTGCCGGGCTCTCCGAGAGGGGTGGAGGATTGAAACTCGGGCCGACTGCATGCAAGGCAAATGCCCTACCCACTGTGCTATACCATGTATTTTATTTAATTCATCAGTGTTTTTTAATTAGTTTCTCAAATGTTTCTTTTAGTGGAATCTGTACATTAGTTCTCTCTTTAGGAACTGCTCTACTAATTTCTTCTATATTTAAGTCAACCATTGATATCCACAAATACGGATGCATTCAGAAATGTCATCTGGTTTTATTTATTGAAATAAATATATTTAAAATTTATTCATTTTAAATGAATAAATTTAGTTTTGCTCACTAAATTTGCTTCAAGGCTTCTAAGCAAATTTAGTGATAGTTAAACTCAAGGAAATAATACGATGAGATGTTATAAAGAGGAAAAATGGCCCTGCTGTTATTACAATGGTATTTCTACAGAGTGCATTTTATTTAAGAGAATGAGGATGGAGGCCTCTGGCCCACACGGCCACGCTCCAAGGATGATGGTGTGGAAGCTCTCGTTGAAAGTCAGACTCCACAGGACTTGCCATGGTTGAGTGAGCCCTGCATTGGCCATCGGTGGAAGCTGAGGAGCTGGGTACTGCTCAGTCCTGCACCTGGGCCCAGGGGTCTACCTGAGACTGCAGGGTGGGTCCCAGGGCCATCTGAGACCCTTCCTTTTTATCAATCTCACCCTCTTCCTCTCCAGAGATTGCCTTGGAATTCTCCTCCTAAGAGTATATTTCTTATCTTCAATATGTGATTCATTCTTCTCTCAATTTCTTTTCTTATGTGCTGAGGGCTTTTTAAAAAACCATTAAAGCTTAATACGTTTATAGCTGCCCTCCTTTATTTCAGCTCACTAGCTCTTTGCTCTGGCTTGGCCGAACATGCTGTGCCTTCTTTTTTTATTTTTTTGTCTTTTTGGGTCACACCTGGTGATGCACAGGGGTTACTTCTGGTTCATGCGCTCAGGAATTACTCCTGGCAGTGCTCGGGGGACCATAGGGGAAGCTGGGAATTGAACCTGGGTTGGCTGTGCGCAAGGCAGATGCCCTACCCACTGTACTATCGCTCCAGCCCCAGTGCTGTGTCTTCTTACAGACTACTTTCTCTTGCTTGCCATATTGTCAGTATTATTATTTATATGATATTGAATAGACAGGTTAAGAAATGAAGCTAGAAATTGGCACAATGCTACTGAACATTTTAACCTTTACTTTGTCTCTAAATATCCTGAAGGAGCAGGAATATTGGTATCACAGCTGCTGCTCCTCCACCCGGGACTCATATCCAAGTCTATCGTGCAGTGTCTGTGGTGTGGGATTCCGATGTGATTTTCTTACAGATTTTCTCTCTGCTGAGTAGCTGGAATGCATGATCGCTATATAACACACATTAATTTCATTTCTGGGACGCATCACCACAACTCAGTGCCGTGCCATACCCAAATGATACCCTTTCCGCTTAATACGAGCTGTCACTGTCACTGTCCTCCCGTTGTTCATCAATTTGCTCGAGCGGGCCCAGTAGCGTCTCCAATTTGAGACTTGTTGTTACTGTTGTTACGAGCTAGGACATGGAATTCATAAGCTGTGATCTCAGTGTTTACCTCACAGGAAAATCCACAGCTGTGTATTCTTGAGCTTTTTAGCATGACAGGGATGGCACATCTGGCACTTAGGAATATCAGTGTCTCAAAAGAGCACAAGAAGACCTCCTGCCTGGCGTTCTTCTAAGATCAAACTAGATATATATTTAGGCCCATGTTAATCTCCATGACAGTTTTACCAAAAATTTCTCAGAGAACCCATATGAATGGAATTGAATGCTGTGTTAGATACACATAGGATCTGGAAATTAAAGATAATTTCAAGAACTCTCTAATATGCCGTATATTTTTCATGTAATCAGAATCCCTATATATTCGGTTTGTTCAAAGTATATTTATTTTGTAAGATTACACGAATAAATTTTTTCTTGTTTTTCTTGTTTCTTTGTCCGTCGTCTTTCTACCTTCTGCTCTTCTTCTCCCTTTTTGGCAAAGAAAATCTAGAAAGTCCAATCCTTAAATCATCTGCTTGAGGAACAAGGCAAACCAAGACCCATGGAGACAATGTGACTGGTGAAGAGAAGTTGAAGCAATGGCTGCTGGGACTTTTTTTTTGTAAAAGAATGGAAAAAGAGAGATGTAATGGCAGCTGATGTTAAACTTTCCATATCTGAAATTAGATTCCCTAGGTGGAATATTTCTTGGATACTGTGACTACAGAATTCCAACGTTATAGCGCAGTATAATGAAAACCAGCTCTTAGGGTATGTGCTTTACTGCTGCAAAAACAGAATTGTTCACATTAATTTACAGCAGGCACTTGTGGGGAATGTATTAAATGGCCTTACTTTTGCAGGAAACCATTTATTGTTTTAGTGTTTTGCCATTAAAAAATCACATAAACGTCCAAATCAATCGAAATTGCCCTGGTGGCTGATCACATGGCTGAAGAGAGGAAGGAGAGCATTGCCTTTGCTTGTAAAACTCCAGGCCCAAGTAAAAGAAGTCCCACCAAGAGGGTACAAACAGCTGTCCACGATCTGTCCAGGGTCGCATCAGCCCTTTAATTGTGGTGTCAGTATGTCGTACCTGAACATTCTGGAACTTAAATTTGGCAATGAAAATTCTATGAAGATTTCAGAGAACTTTTGGTCACAACTACCTTGAAAATAATAGATTAATGATTTCCTTTGTTTCCTCGAAGACTTTATTTTATAAATGCTTTGTTTACATTTTAGATTGTATTTGTCCTGACCTTGGAATGATGAATCTAGTTCGAATCAGCTGTTACTCCAAGCTATCATGCTTAAGCTATGTCGACAGCCTTTTTGTTTGTACTGATACTAATGTTTCCATCAAAATTCACCTGTGGCGCATAAACGGTTCTTAATTTTCAAATGTCAGTTCTTGAAGTATATTCTGTATGAAGCTCTGGTCAGCTTCTCTATTTCAGAATGCAATCAGCATATGACTATATTGATGTGAGAAAATGTTTGTTTTTTTTAAAAAAAAGTATATTGGTGTATGATAAAGATGATCTAGTTTGTGAATGCATATGCGTGTGTGGTTGCTTTTTCTAATGTGAGATAATGAACAGTGAATTTACTCAAAATAAAACAGAGGCTAATGCTATGCTTGTGTTTGTGGAAAAAGCTTCAAATAGTTTCCTGCAGTTTCTATTCCATAATGAAAAGAATAACCAAGAAAGAAGGAAGGCATGTACTCCGTCTCCAGTCAGTGTCGTCACAGAGAAACGGCCAAGGAGAGCCTTTGGCATCAGTTCTGGGACTGGCAGGGACACATTCTCTGTTGACTGTCCCTCACCCCCTGCCTCCATTTGGCCTCTTTGTGGTCATTTTTCGTGACTCTTTTATTTAAAGATGGTTGATTTTGTCCTTCACTGCAGGACCGTTGCCACTTGCATTGTTCCAGGACAGACTCCTGTCCTAAGTGACAGATGGGCTGAAGACTGATGCCACAACACTGGCCCTAACTTGTCCTGCTCTACTGTGGTGACTGTGTGTGACAGGCCAGAGCCTCTGTGGGCTGGAGGGGGCCCTCATGGAACCCTGAACCTGGGCTTTCTGTCGAACGGAGATGTCTGAGGGTCGATTCCATGTCAGTCAGGATTCCCATCCTGTGTGTGGAGGGGAGGGTCATGGGGAGCGAGAACAGCAGGCTGGCAGGACCCTGGGCAGGGTCAGTCAGCCCTGTTGTCAGACATATGTGCAGTGACCGTCTCTGCTAAATATCTGTCAGAATTAACTCTCAAGGACAAATGCACAGGAACTGTCCAACTGTACCCTGGAAGCAGGACCGCACACCATCAAAGCTCTCCATGGAACTGTGCCCTGGATGGAGCCTTTAGGCTTCCCGTGTGACAAGAGACTGCCCTCGTGTGTGGTTGCAGGGAAATAGGGGTGTCTGCGTCTGCACGCTCCTCAGGGAAAGTTGCATTTTTTTAATGGTGGGTTCTAGAATTCCACCAATTGGGAGGATCAGCAAAAGGAACCACACCTGTAAAGCTCCCTCGACCAGCAGAAACGGGGCTGGGGCAGGGGCTGGGGCTGGGGCTGGGGCTGGGGAGGACTTTAGATTGCAAAGGGTGGTCTACAGACCCTGGGAACCCGTGTCCATGGCCTCACACAACTACTTGGGGGATGGAGGGTCCAAGGTGCCTGGGCTGAGCAGCGGACATGACTGTGAGGAACAGCATGGTAGGTTTACAGCGGGGGCAGAAGGAATTTGATCCCTAAACTCCTTTGGGCAGCTCCTGCGTGTGTGCTAGAGGATCTGTACAGGTGTGTGGCCTGTGGGAATCAGTTTTTGAATAAAGTTGGTTACATCCTGTAGTTGAAACCTTGATTTGGGGCTAGACAGACAGTACAGCAGGGAGGGCATTTGCCTTGCACATCCTGGGCCCGGCTTTGCTCTCTGGTACCCTGTGTGGTCCCCTGAGCCCTGTTAGGAGCTATCCCTGAGCACAGGACCAGAAGGAAACCCTGATCACCAATGGTGTGGCCCAAGAGTCAAAAAAAAGAAAAGAAAACTTGCATTTAAAAAAAATAAGACTTCCCACGGAATTTTTGGTGGTCAACCTCGGGGGGGAATATTTAAGCTATTTCTTAAAAGTGACAAGGGCATTTTCAGAGTTGGGGAGTAAGTAATGGGAATCCTGATGCCATGACAGGATTGTTCTAAAACGCAGCAAAGGCTCAGAGGGGTTATAGTTTTAGATTCTTCTAGAATTCCACTTTTATATGTGGCCAAAGTATAACCCCCTGTGGAGCCAGAGAAATAGTCCAGCAGGTAAGGCACCCGGCCCTGTGCACAGCTGGCCAGGGGTCAGTTCCCAGTGATAAGGTATGGTCCCTTGAGCAACACTGGGTGTGACCCCCAAACAGAATAAAACCAGAGGGTTGACATTCTAACTGAATAGTCTTATTTCTCTTTTTCCCACAAGCACGCCTGAGCACTAAGAAGCCCCTTAAGAATGTCTGTTGGAACTCTTGCTCGACTTGTGTCTCTTCTTTCTATTTCTAGGTCCTAGACTAGCCTGGCTCTTACTGAGTGTCTACTGGTGCTGAAGGCAAGAAAACAGGAATGCATTAATATCCAGATTTTAGAATGATGGAAAGTCCGTTTTTAGGTTGCTGCATAATATTATTACTTAGTTTCATTAAGAACTGCTCACAGTACTAAGATTTGGTATTAAGAATCAGGCAGATCAATATAATAATTTCAGGGATGTTAAACAATTGGCTACTGACCAAAATCCAGTTAGGCACGTGGCCACATGAAGTCCACTCTGAGACTGGTCAGTTCTGCTCACGACACTGTGAGTTCTCCCGACTTGGCTGGTCTCTAACAGAAATGGTCGTTAGAGCCTTGCGGGAGGTTAGGGGGCTTCTCATTCCCTGTAGCCTGGGACCACGTACGGGCATCCTGCATCTTGCCAGTGTTACTGTGCTGGCGTTTGAGATGGGGGAAGAGCAGCGTGCGCTCTGGGGCTGGAGGCAGGAGAGGCAGCCACTGTCCCCCAGGCTGGCCACGGAACGTTTTCCTTTTCTGAGATGGGCAGCAGCCCCTCTTATGGGGGAGATGGTGAGATGGTGCTGGTGCCGGGAGCCCACAGTCCTTTCAAGGGCCGGGAAGATGATCTGACAGGAAGGAAGTTCCAGCCTTTGCATCTTGGGGGAGACAAATTCCACAGTGCATTCAAATGAAGAGAGGGAGAGAGAGAGAGAGAGAGAGAGAGAGAGAGAGAGAGAGAGAGAGAGAGAGAGAAAGAGAGAGAGAGAGAGAGAGAGGGAGAAAGTGAGAAAGAATGGAGGGAGGGAGAGGGAAAGAGTGAAGAGGGGAGGGGGGAGGGAGGAAGGGAGGGAAGGAGAGAGGGAGGGAGGGAGAAAGTGAGAAAGAATAGAGGGAGAGAGGGAGAGAGAGTGAAGAGGGGAGGAGGGGAGGAAGGAAGGGAGGGAAGGAGAGAGGGAGGGAGGGAGGGAGCCCAGGAAGGTCCCAGCACATGGGTGAGGGGAAGGCACAGGTATACCCCAGTCCCCAGAACCCCTTCTCTCCTGCTGAAAAGAAGGCTTTGCCCTCCTGGGCCTGGGCCTTGGCAGTGCCCAGGCCGATGAGCTGCTGTGTCACTTAGTTTGTGCGGGTGGGGAGTAGAGAGTGTGCAGTCCAGGGCAAGTCTTCATCCTGGAATGTCCTCCTCTACTGTGTGCTTCAGTCACACTGGTAACGGGAATGGGAAGTTACGTTTGTCTAGGCTAGTCTTCAGTTAAATGACAAAGATGCCTAGATGCGGGTTGAACAGCAGCCCACGTACCACCCACCACCTTCCTAAGATCTGAGTGAGCTCCTTGGGCTTCACTGAGTGGCACCAACTAGTCAAAGTGGGGGGTGGGACAGCAGGAGGCCACCCTTGTACCCCCACCACATCGTCCCTTGCCTCCCTGCAATGCAGCCTTCGAGCCCTCAGCTCGTCAGAGGACAGTTGGGTCCATCACTCTGCCCAGAAACAGCAGCGTTCTGGAGGGTTCTTCGTAGATGAGGAAGTGAAAGGGCCGGTTCACTCTGATGATGGGAGGCATGGAATAGGCAGTGATTTCTGACACGGTTCCTGCCACCGCGTCTGTTCCCTTTTCGTCCACCTCGATCACTGTTCTTTGTAGGACCTAGGAAAGGAGGGAGAGAAGATGCTGGAGAGGCCACACATGATGGAGTCAAATGGGCTGGAGCAATAGGACAGTGGGGGAGGGTGCTTGCCTTGATCCCCGTCATCCCGTATGGTCCCCCGAGCCCACCAGAAGTGATCCCTGAGCTCAGAGCCAGGAATCAGTGATTCCTGAGCACCACTGGGTGTGGACCCCAAGCCAAAAACAAACAAACAAACAAACAAACAAAAACAGGAGTTCACTGAGTCCTTAGCCTGTTCTGCAGGGATGTGCCCCCGGGAGGGAGAAGAGAAATGCAGGGAGAAATGCACCAGGAGGGTGGGGAGGCAGCCTGGACCCCCAACACCATATCAGGAGACAAGGGACCACACGGGCAATGCATTGTGGGCCTGTGGGGAGACACTCTGCTCCTGTGTGCTCGAGGCCTTGGCGGCTGTAGGCTACACAACCTGGAACTGAGTCCCTCCCAGATGCTTCCCAGCCACCCAGGCCCACTGGGATCTTCATCTTTTCCTTGCCCGACAAGGGGGCAGGGCTGTGGTCTGTTTGCCGAGGCAGTGTGCCAGAACCTGGTGCTGCTCCAAGGCTAGTCTGGGCCAACCCCCTGGACTCGAGGTGCCTCCCTGAGGTCTCTGCTAACCCGGGAGGCCATTCTTTCTCTCAGGAGGTCCTGGGCTGTGAGGGAAGCCATGTGGTAAGCTCCCCGAGGTCTCTCCTCTTGGCTGACACTTATTTGATTGCCCAGAGCAATCACCAGGGGCATGTGTACAATCTCTGAAATGGCCTCTGTGTGTGTGTGTGTGTGTGTGTGTGTGTGTGTGTTGCATGTGCGTGCATGCATGCATGTGTGTGGTATGTGGTGTTCCGTCTCTGGAACAACCCCTTAGTGTGTGTGTGTGTGTGTGTGTGTGTGTGTGTGTGTGTGTGGTATACGAGGTAACATCTCTGGAGAAGCCCCTTTGTGAGTGTGTATGTGTGTGTGTGCATGTGTGTGTGCGTGCATGTGTATGGTATATGCATTTACCGTCTCTGGAACAACCCCTTTGTGAGTGTGTGTATGTGCATGCGTGTGTGTGGTATATGTGTGTACCATCTCTGGAGTAGCCCCTTTGTGAGTGTATGTGTGTGTGTGTGTGTGTGTGTGTGTGTGCGTGCAAGTGCGTGAGCATGCATATGTGTGGTATATGCATGTGCTATCTCTGGAGCAGCCTTTTTCTTGGGGTCAAGGCGTGTGTGTGTGTGTGTGTGTGTGTGTGTGTGTGTGTGTGTATGTGTGTGTGCACAGCAGAAGGCCTGGTGCTGAGGGCAGGAGAATCATACCACGGCTACCCTTTTCTCTGCAGTCACAGGGCCGGTGTCACATCCCCATTACCCCCCTTAAGTAGATGTACTTTGGGGAGCACACCAGTGGTGTTGGGAGATAAGCCTGAGACCACTCTTGTGGTTTCACCCAACAATGCTCAGGGGTAACTCCTTGCTCTGTGCTAGGAATTACTCCTGGTGGTGCTCAGGGTACCACAAGGGATGCCGGGGATCGAACCTTGGTTGGCCATGTACAAGGCAAACGCTCTCCCAGCTGTCCTCTGTGAGCCTGCCTGGGACCACTCTTGTTCTACTAGAACAAGAAGAAAACATGCAGGTCTGCTAGGGGGACTTGGATCAGAATGGTGGTGGTGATGGGGCATTCTGAATCAAACTCAGGCCCTCTCACATGCTAGGCATATGATGCCCCACTGAGCACATGCTTAGGTCTTTGTAGATGTGTGTTTAGTTTTAGGATTGAAAGCAATCACATGGGAAAGTGTGATCAGAGGTTTTCTGGGCCCTCAGCAGTGAGGGGTTCCTATAGGTATTCTAAAACATGTGCATGCGTGTGTGTGTGTGTGTGTGTGTGTGTGTGTGTGTGTATGTGTATGTATGCATGTCTGTGTGTGTGGAGACATTTTCCCTTGAGATCAGAGAGGAAGGGAGCTACACAAGAGAAATGAGTAGTTGAACCAATGTTTCCAATAAAGTAGCTCAGAATTATCAACACCCCTTTCCCCCCCTGCAGCCCGAGTGCTGTTGCAAGCCTTTTGGATCGATTCAAGGCTCTTTGAACTGGGAGCGTCGGCCTGTGCACCAGTCAGCAAGTATCTCTGATGGTCGCCCGTCATCCCCAGCGCTTGGGGCTCCCCGAGGCCCCGGCTCACCTTGGAGACTCTGAGTTCTCTTGAGGTCACTGAGACCTCACTCAGGTCAGCCCAGTGGGAGAAGACTTGTCTGATCCCCAGCTCTTTGAGCAGCTGGTGCATCTCGTACTTCTGGTCTAACTTGAACTTGGGAAAGAAAACCTCCATTTTCCTGCAGTACAAGGACATAAAGTGGTGACATGCAGACAAGAACCAGGTGAATTCTGAAAAGCTCAGGCTCCCTTTGTCCCTTCCTCCCGGAAGGGTCTCCATCAGCAGATCTCCCCGGCTGACTCATGACCCTGGTGTAATTCCAGGATATCACGGCCCCTGCGAAGACACACACACTGTAGCTGAGAAGACCCCAACGTGGAACCCTGTCCCTAGGCGTCTAGACCAACCAAGGACCTGCTCCCTGCCATCCTGCACACCCCTGGGTGCCTCAAGAACCGCCTCCTACCAGCAGAAGCCGAGGAAATGGTTAGCTGTCTTCTCTAGTGGAGTTTTCCTTGGAAAATACTCCGCTTCCAAAGAGAAGTCTTGGGGCTCAAAAGTAAAGATGAACATGAAAGGATACAAAATTTGTCTCATTCCCAATTTCTTTCTCTGACGTGTAGCCCCAAATTCCTGGTGCAGTTACGCACATTAAGTATCCAGCACAATGTCTGTTGTGTGGTAGGACCTTAATGAAGTGAAAGTTCCTGTTTGGCTCCGCCTCCCCACACCCCACCCCAGCCGAGTCCAGTCCTCCCCCCTCTGATTCCTCCTCTACCCCCTTTTCTCTTCCCTGCTCCTCCAACTCTCCCCGCCTTCGCCTTTGTAACTTCTCTGCCTGAATGTCTAAGAGGAATTTCTGATCCGAGTGTTTGCAGGGGACCTTTGGGATTTTCCCATTCCTGCCAACGGCTTCCCAGTTCAGTCCTGGGCAATGCCGAACCCTCCTCCTCGCTCCCTCCCACCCCTACACACCCAAAGCTCTGCGATATATATATATATATTTTAAGTAGGGGTCAAAGCCAGCGATGCTGGGGCCCACTGGGGCCTCCTGGTGATGCAGTGTGGTGTGGTGCTCAGGCTGGTGACACTGGAAGCCCCCGGAACCAAACCTGGTTGTCCGCTAGAGACTGTGTGTGCAGGGCACACTTCTAGCCTTTGAGTATCTCCCGGGCCCTTCCTTCATTTTCATCTTTGGTACTTCCTGTTCCCTCCTCTCTTCCTTAGCCAATTTCCCTGCGTCCCCAGTGTCCAGGAAGTCCCCACTCCTCACCTGGCTCCCCACACGGTAGCGTCTGGGTGAAGACTGCCCAGAGATCTCTCGGTCCCCTTCCCACAGACCACGCTGATGCCCTGCTTATCCCTTCATGGCCACCACCTCCATCCAGGTGACTCGGGTCTTTTCCACAGCCTGGCCTCACAGTCCACCTTGCTGTACTTCAGAAGCATGGGCCAGTGCACTCGCTGCCAGAGCCCACTTCTGCCTGGACTCCCCTCTCGCAGACGAGCACATACGTGTGTCCTGGCCCTCCCCAGCACACCTTCCCCTCAGCGCCCTCCCACAGCCCCTCCCTGCACTCTGGGTGGGCGGTGCACCATCTGTCTCCATCCCCATCCCCGAAGGCTGCATGGGGGTTGTGTTGCTGTGCTGGGCACATGCACGAACCTCAAGGTGGCCAAGGGTGGGAGGAAAGGCTAGGCGCCATGGTGAAGAAGGAAAAGGACGAGGCAGTCCCTGGCCACTGCCCTCCCCCTGAACCCCCACCCCCGGCTTCTCGGCCATTGGATTGTGGGTGTCTGCCAGGATCCAGGGCTGTGAGTGAACAGGAGCAGGGCAAGCAGCGTACCTGGTTTTCAAGGTCCTGAGCCAGGTGTCCACCAGCTCTGGGGTCAGGTAGTCTTCGAGGGCCAGGTGGTCGCCTATGTTCTCCATGAGGACCACCAGCATGCTGGCGTTGCCCCGGTAGGGCAGCTGGAGCACGTGGCAGCGGAAAGTCTTGTCGAAGGTGGAGGCGAACTTGCCCGCCTGGAACATCATGGGCACCTTCACGGTTCGGTACTTGTCCAGGTGGAAAGTGTCCACTTCGGTGAGGTCAGGGTCGAAGGGGCTCTGCCACTTCCCTGCACAGGCGAGAGGGGACCCCACTGCACACCCGCCTCCCTGAGGCCTCCGAGCCCCCCTCTGCAGCCCCTCAGGGGAGGCATTTGCTTCCCAACAAGGCAGAACCAAATCCCATCCGGATCCTCTTTGCCTCGTGGTTACACGGTTTCCCCCAGGCCCTGGGACAATCGCACATAGGCCCAGAGGTGGCCTTACAGATGCCAGCTTATGGGGTGGACAGTTCCTTGACACCTTGCCCTTGAGATGGGCTTCGGTCTTCAGCTGACCAGGCCTACTCTTGCCTACCCCGGCTGCCATGCTGCCCTATGCAGCCAGAGTCCCTTGGGGTCTTGTTTTCCTAGCCTTGCTCACCCATCACTTGGTTTTGGGGAGGGGGAGCTGACCGGTAGATATCTCCACAGTCCAAGCCAGCCCCCAGGGTGCCATACAGGAGACGCCCCATGCCTTGGCTGTGGCCCGTCCTCCTCCCAGTCACTCGTGTCAGCTCTGTACCAGGCGTGGCCACACCACGTCCGCCTTTCCAGGGGACACACCTGCAGGTATGTTCAGGACCTTTTAACTTGGCCTTTTTGTTTCCCATGTGGCCTGGATCAGCCAACTGCCCTGAGCCTTCCTGCCAACTAGGGGAGGTGAGAGGGTCAAGGACGACTTCCCTGCAGTTTATTACAATAAGAATCCAAGAGTGGGGCTGGAGTGATAGCACAGCAGGGAGGGCATTTGTCTTGCATGCAGCTGACCCAGATTCGATTCCCACATCCCATAATGGTCCCCTGACAACCGCCAGGAGTAATTCCTGAGTGCATGAGCCAGGAGTGAGCACCCCCTGAAAAAGAATCCAAGGGCAAGAGATGTTCCTTGCTCCAGGCTGCATCCAGGCCACAAAATTTGATAAGGAGCAAAGCAGTAGTAACCCTGCATGTATTTTAGAAGATTCTATCTACTAACCAGAAGATTCCTTGTGTTATAACATCAGAGTGTGCTGGCCAGTTGAGCATGTGGGGTCCCTGGGGAGGGGTGCTCATTGAATAGGTGTATCTATTCACCATTACCCCCTGGTGACTACCATCACACCTCCCTTTCTTTTTGAGGTCTCTGTCCCGTGTCTCTCACCATGCCCTCCCCTCATTTACTTTATTTTGCATCTGTGGCCTTCTTGGGAGCCCACAGGGGCCCACAAAGAATCTTGAGCAACGGGGCCTGCAAGTTTCCATCTGTCACCTGGAATATACTTGTCATTCTGGGTGTTGTCAGGGGAAGAAAAGGAGGTAAAGGGAGACACCCAGGGCTCCGGGAGGGCAGAGGTTGCCTGCGGGTAAGTACCTCTGAGCATGATGTAGTCTGCGAGGATGAATTTGGTGCCAGGGTCGATCTCATCAAAGAACTTGGGGATCTTGCCCCAGGTATCCTTGTCAATGTAATAATTCATGAGCGCCCTGGCCTGGGAGATGTTGCGGAAGTTCACTGGCACGCACAGGGTGTCCAGGTAGTATCTGGAGAGGTGGAGGAAGTTCTCCTGGACGTCGAAGTCCTGGTGGATGAAGGCAAAGCTCCCCTGGGCCAGCTCAAGCTCCTGGTTGAGGGCGAGGGAGACCCGCAGCTGCCTGAAGAGTTCGGGCAGGTGCCCAGGCCTGGTCAGCTCCCGCAGGCCCAGCCCCATCTCCAGCTCGGCTCGCGTCTGCCCTTTGCTCCCCAGCACCAGGGCCACCAGGGCTGAGGCCAGGCCGAGTGGGGAGAAGGCCACATTGTCATCGTGCTTCATGGAAATCTTGCGCAAAAGGCTGAAGCTCAGGTGGGAGATTCCCTCAGAGAGCTGCCTGCTGCCCAGCGACCAGAACTCTTCATCTGCCTCCTCCTGGCCAGGCTGCACCCTGTTGTCAGTTGGGTCTGGAGTAGCTCGCACCCCACTGTTGATCTGGTTCTGGGAAGTCTGTACCCCACTGTTGGTCTGGTTCTGAGCAACCTGTACCCCACTCTTGGTCTGGTTCTGGGAAGCCTGCAACCCCTCATAGGCCTGGTCCTGGCCAGTGGGAGTTGGCAGTGTCCAGATTCCTTCTAGGGTCTCTGGTGTTGGGCGGACAGGGTTGGAGCCAGTCCCCAGCTGCACCTGGGCCAGGAGACAGGGGAGCAGAAGGCACAGCCCCGTCGTCTTCAGGTCTGCATGGAGGCCAGAGCAGCGAGACTTCCTCGGGAGAAAAGGGGCAGAGTTTGCTTAGAGCCCCCCAGACAGCTGTCCTGAATGGGAGAGTCTTAACCCCAATCCCCTCCCCCCAGCCCCAAGACCATCGGCAACTTTATGACCCAACGGTCGTTTCTCCCACCAGGCACACCGTCGGGGCCAGCTCAGCTCCTGGGCCCGTCTGCACACCCCAGATGGGAAGCTTGGGTCTCCTCAACTTCCCTGCTATCTCTGTTCCCTCCCAGGAGATTTGCAGGCAACCCAAAGAGGGATTAGAGTGGCCATGCAGCTGAGACATTACTGGGGCCTGCTCGAGGCAATCGACGAATAACAGGATGGTCGTGATAGTGATCGTGATGCAGCTGAGATAGAGAAGGGACCACCAAGTAAATGATACTTGGAGGGCTCACTCGAGATGGGAGATGCGTGCTGAAAGTAGACTATGGACCAAACGTGATGGCCACTTATGACCTGTATTGCAAACTACAACACCCGAAAGGAAGGAGAGAGAGTAAAAGGGAATGTACCTGCCACAGTGGGGCAGGTAGATGCAGTGGGGCGGGGGCTGATAGGAGGGGTGGCGGGAGGGATACTGGGAACATTGGTGGTGGAGAATGGGCGCTGGTGGAGGGATGGGTACTCGATGAGTGTATGACTGAAATGTAATCACAAAAGTTTGTAAATCTGTAACTGTACCTCATGGTGATTCCATTAAAAAAAAAGAGTGGGCATGTCTTGGCACTGAAAGACATGGGGCACAGTGGGCGGGGGTTGGGGGCTGTGCCCACCTTGCCCACCTTGTTCATTACCGCACAAGGTGGGGGCAGCTTGACATATGGGACAGCTGGGATCCCTGTGCCCCTCCACACTCGCTTCTTTTCCACAACACTGACCAGGAGCCAGAGTGCCGAGATGCAGCTCAGTTTCCCTCTCGTCCTCACAGTGCCTAAGAAGTGCCACCTTCCTCCACTGACCCAGGGGACATTGGTTTGTGGAGCCAGCCTTCTGCACTGGTGGGGACCTCGCACCACACTCCAGGTCCCCACACTGTCACATGGCATTGGCTGGACGAGGACACCTGGCCGGGTCCTCACTCTGTCCCTGTGGTTGAATGACAGCACAGGCCAGTAACCAGAAGCTGACGGTTGGGAGGGAGGCAGAAGCACCATGCAATGGGCATTGAGACTGCGGTGTGCGTGCGTGCGCGCGTGCCTGTGTGCGTGTCTCCTCCTGTGTGTGTGTGTGTGTGTGTGTGTGTGTGTGTGTGTGGGAGTAGATGAGTGTGAGTATATGAGTGAGCAAGTCTGGGTATGTGTGTGAATGTGTAAGTGCATGTTTGTATGAACAAGTCTGTGTGTGAGTGCATGCCTGAAAGTCTGTGTGAGTGAGTGTATGAGTGTGACCTTGTGTGTGCCTGCATGCAATCAGCAGAAACTCTCCTCCACACCCTGCTGCCAGGGGCCAAGTGTGAGGACGGGCAAGTCCGCAGGCTCTTTTGCACAGGATCTCTGGCACCACCAGGGCATGGAGTGACACCCCCCAACTCCCAGGATTCTGGCAGCTCCTCAGGATTCAGGGTCCCTGCTGTGGCCCCAGGCCGCCGCCTTGCTGGGGAGCTTGTGGCTGTTTCCTGACCCTCCCATTGGAGGCCTAGATTCTGAGAGGTGACAGAGTGTCTGTACCTGCATGCTGCTCAGCACTGCTTGGCCGCTTCCACAAGGGTTCTGCATCGTCACATGCTTTTTTGGGCTAGCATTTTGTCACTCAAACCCATCCCTGCTGGCCACCTCGCAGAGGGCCCCTGTTCTCTGGCAGTTCCGGCACAGTCCTGGCTTCCCAGTCCCATTTCCTCCTTCCGGAAGCACATTGTCCCGGAAGCTGTTCCTGCCGCTGGGGGTGGTCCTATGCCTGCTTCCACTTCTATTTCCAGGAAAGCCCGGAAGCCTCTTGGGGCTCAGCTCCCCTACTGAAGGAGCAGAACATCCTCAGGGCGCACCCCTAATCCCCTCATTCCTGAAGCAGGTCAAAGAAGCTTCATCATGAAGGAACGTGGGAGGTGAGGAATCAGCCCCTTACCCTGCCCATCCTGCACGGCCCAGAGCACCCCCAACTCCCACCACTCTCCGCCTCTCTCTCTGGTTGCTTCCTGGAGGTCTTGGGGGGACGTCCCCATCCCTACCTGTACCCCACATCTACAACTTCCTCTGTATGCTGCCCCATCCCAGAGCATCGAGGGGGGGCTCCTCTGCCCACACCCCACCTGCACTTCAGGGTCCCTGAAAGGAGGAGGCATCTCTCCCGTCCTTGCTGTGACTGGCTGCCCCGAACCAGTGAGGGGGGTCTCTCTTAAAGGCACAAAGATCTGGCCTTGCAGGGAGTCTGTAGCCAGTCTTGGGGTCTCAGAGTAGAACCCCACCGCCGCCTATGGGACTGTTCCTGATTGACACGGGGCTCAACACGGTGGGACTGCTGGGAAAGCAAAGGCAGAGGAAGGGGGCGCATAACTGCCCCCCAATCCTGGGCACCTGACATGGCCCATGGTAGAGAAGCTGGGAGTGACTCACCCATCCTGGTCGCCTGCTGACCTGACAGTTCCTCAGGAGCTGTGGGGAGCACGTCTTGGTCATCTTGACCCCCAGGTGCTCAGGACACTGAGGGTCCACGCTAGTCCTGCCTGGATGCCCAGCCTCAGATAAGCCTTCCCACAGGACCAGGACCTTCCCAGGGTGTCTGGAGAAGCTGAGCCCTCTCGGTGGGTCTGGGTCGTGGGCAGGGCTGACTGGGCAGCTGGGGGTGGGGGTGGGGCTCTCCAGTCTCTCTGCCTTCCCTTTCCCAGAAACCCCACCAGGTCTGAGCAGGATGTTAATGAGTAACAGTGCCGGGGGTGGGATGGGGGGTGGGGTTCTACTCTGAAACAGCAAACACTGGCCGCAGACTCAGCTACAAAACTCAGCTCACTTTCTGTGTTTGTGGTGGGTGAGGGACCTCCTCATCGGGGCAGCTGATTAAAGCCCAGAGCCGGGCTTCCCAGACCCTTTAGACAGAAGCTGTCAGACTGACTCATCTGGCTCTCACAGCACGCCAAGTGGGCCATTACTGCCCCACTGAATTGAGCACAAAAGGTTCTGTGTGACTAGTTAGCACACACAAAGTTAAAATCACACCCAATTTCATCCAGGAGGCAACTCGGTCAGCACTGTCTTGTTCTGAGGTCCACACTCTGCCCGCCTGCAGTGGAGACAGTGACAGTGCAGGCTCTGAGCCTTTGGCCACAGCGACTAGGTCCTCACCCACTGATTTCAACTCAGGGCTCGTTTTTGCTAAAGTCCCCAGACCAAGGCTGGGCCTTCCTCTGACTGCACGGCATTTGTCAGGAAAGTCGGCGGAAATGAGAATCTCAGGGGATGTGATGATTTCAAGGGACTCAAACCCAGGCCTGGGAGGGTCTGTGCCCACAGGATTGACTACGTTTTCTCCCTGTGGATTTACACCGTGTCACATGTGGCTCATGGGACCCCAGTCTCTTTATGGAGCGACAGTCCTGTGTCCACCGTCATGTCCAACATCACTGGCTCTAAGGGCCCAGATGTTCCCCCAAGTCTTAGTGAAAATCAGAAGAGCCTCCATAGTTGTCCAGAGTGTTCCTTAGAACTCTCTGTAGAGAGTAACCTGCTCTATCTTCAGGAGTCAGAGAAGAGTGCATTTCCTTGGTCTCCCTCTCTGTGTGTCTGATCCTGGAACAGAGGGACCCAGGGAAACTGGGGTTATTCCTGGAGGTTGGAGAGCGTTGTTGGCTCTGCCTAAGGTCTGGTTACGATCCATACATGGGACACATTGAATCTCGAGGCTCTTGAGCCAGCTGCTGCTGGCAATCTTCAGCTGCAGAGAACCTTCTAGAAAGAAGTCAACACAAGCAGGAAATTGGAGTGGCTCTGTTGGAACTCCCTCAGCATGAATCCAACTCCTCCAAACTCCACTGGGATCTGTGGATGGCAGAATGTTCCCTCATCTCTCCAAACGTGCTTCTCCTGCCAAAGGATTGCCCCTCCAGGCCACCGTGGTGGGAGCACGAGGCTCAGAAAGGGGCGTCATTACTGTTTCCGGGAGCACCTTCAGCCAGCACAGGAAGTGGGTGCCAACTCCCTTCAGCCTCCTACCACCTGGGAAAGTGGGAGAACTCAGTGCCTGTCACCATCCCCCTGAGCTCGCCTACCCACTGTGGAATCCCTGTACAGATTTCACAAAACCCATGGACCCCAATTCCTTCCCTCCCCTTCCATCGGTTGCCTGACTTGTGCTGTGAGCATTGCTGTGTTGGTTGCCAGCAGGTAGGGGTGTTGAGGAGGAGCCTGAACAAGCCCAGAGAAAATTTTTGATTGCTTGGATTTGCCAGGGCACGAAGGCCTTCACCTAGGAATTGTGTTCTTGTAGAATTTGAACCTGCCACCTCAGCTCACGGTTCTCCCTGGCTTTCAGCTTAGCATGAGTCTCGGGTCAGCTGCAGAGATACGGGAGAGACAGGGTCCAGAGCCGTGGCCCTAAAGTGGAAAGCACAGTGTCGCCCTGTCACCTCGCGGGGCCTAGCCAAAGATCATCTACATGTCACGAGACAGAAGGGCCAGGTGTGTAGGGCAGCTGGAGCAGTGGTCAGCATCATGGGACTCCAGCAGCTTCAGGTCAGGGATAGAGGAATGGGCTTCGGGGGGTGGAGGTGGGGGATAGGGGGAAGCTGTGTAGTAAAGCAAGAGTTCCCATGTGCGGAGTGTGAGCCCACCTGGTGTAGTCCTGCTGGCATCCCCACAGGGAGGTCTCCCACTCCCCCACACTGCCAGAGCAGGTGGCCCCATGGGGAAAGCATCCTGCTCCTCCAAATGGGTCAATATGGTACCCCCACAGGAAAGCATGCCCACTCTCCACAGGAGCTTTGGGGCTCAGGGAGGGGCATGCTGGGGTGGGCCTGGGGCTCAGGTGCAGGAGGACAGGTCAGGGCTCTGTAGGGTGTTTGTGTAGGAGCCATCAGGAACTGTCCTCCTGGCTCAGGACAGCCCCAGCACGTCTTTCATGGACCCACAGTGGTGGACATACCTAGGCCTGAGCCGTGGGGTGGTTTCCTTGCTGAGGGAGAGCTCGCTGTGGGCTTCTTCCCCCCCACCCCAGGAGGTCGGCCTTTAGCTGGATGTTTCTGAGACTGACCTTTGTCCCTCCCTTTCCCTGCTGTCACTGCTGCCCTCCCTGGGCTGTGGTTGTGTTGCTCGTTGTAGCTGGGGTGCTTGTGCTGCTCACACATACATGGGTGCGGTTTGCTGGGATCTCTCGCTTGTTGTGGCAGTGGGGCTCGGCTCTGCAGGGTTGAGGTCACACTTAGAGATGCTGTAGGTAGTGGGAGGCCAGGGCTGGGCTTTGTGTGGGCAGGGGGTGCTGTGCTACTGAGCCGCATCTCCAGGCCCAGGGACCTTTCCTCCCCCTGATCCTGCAGGGCCCACCTGGTTCCCGCTAGGGCTTGGGGAGTGTTTTATCAACTGTAGATCTCTGTTCTCAGTTTCTTCTTGTGTAGACTATGTGAGGAACAGGTTCTTGTTGCAGTTTATTCCCTTTTAAAAGACTAACCTATGGGCCCAGTACCATTGATTTTAAATGTTCTTTATCAAATACTACTTTTTCCTTTTGTTCTTGGGTTGGTTTCCAGACATCCTGACCCATTTCAGTAGTCTACCCCACACAATTAAGGAGTCTGTATGGTCCCCAATCACACACACACACACATGCACCCATAAACACGCACGCGCACGCGCACACACACACACACACACACACACACACACACACACACACACATCACCTTCACCTCACCATTCCTCCCCTTTTCCCTACTTTTTTTTTCTTTCATGGACTTTGTGCCATCTTGTCTCTCTGGAAAATCAAACCACATTTGTTAGTATTTTCAGGGAAATCTATTAAATTATTAAACTAATACAGGGAGAACTGGTCTTTATGGGATGTTGAGGTTGTTGGATGTGGTCTTATCCAAGAAGGCACATCTTTCATAGTGCTTATCTAATCTAGCATTTATAAGGAGTATTTTATCTTTTTTTTTTGGATGATAGTCTTTGCACGTGTCTTGTTTATTCCTAAGTGCTATATTTTGTTCTTTGCTATTGGGCTTACTTTACATTATACACTTTCTCTCTCCTGTGTATGTCTGGAGTCTGTCTTTTTCTGCGGCAAATCTGTATCTGGACATTTTGCTTTTGTTTCCTGAGTTTGTTTTATTATGGATTTTCTAGGGTTATGGAAGTTTATTTCAGGTGCCTACAAATAGGGACTAGAGAAATAGCACAGCAGGTAGGGAGTTTGCCTTGCATGTGTCAGACCCGGGTTCGATTCCTCCGCCCCTCTCGGAGAGCCCGGCAAGCTACCGAGAGTATTCCGCCCGCACGACAGAGCCTGGCAAGCTCCTTGTGGCATATTCGATATGCCAAAAACAGTAATAACAAGTCTCACAATGGAGATATTACTGGTGCCTGTTTGAGCAAATTGAGGAACAATGGGAGGACAGTGCTACAGTGCTACCTACAAATAGAGTTTGATTCCTTTCCTCCTAGTATCTGGGTCCCTTTCCTGTTATTTAATGATACTGTAAATCCCTCCAGAAAAATGGGCAATGGCAATTGACATAATGAATAACTTTGAGTTAATTTTGACCTGCATGGAAAAATGAATTGAACATTTCTGATTCAGTAAGATGATGGTAGAATTCAGGTATATATCCCTGTGTATATTCATATCTCTATGTGTATATGTTAGGACATTATGAATATATTGATGTAAGGAAGTCTCCTTCCTTATTTCCCAATGCATACAACATATCCATTTTCTACATATAATTACAAATACAAAATAACAATACAAATGTGATTATCACACCAAGCTCCCGGGAGAGAACAAGGCAGAGTCTCCTACCCTGTGCCTGACTGTCCTCACCAGGGCCCAACAGCTGAAGACCTCCGGGCCCCAGCCAAGGCCGTGCTGAGACCACTCTCCACACACTTGGATGAGCCTCACGCATAAAAGAACTGGCAGAGGAACCCTTCTTGCAGCCTTCCCAGAGCACTGACCCAGGCGCACAGTGAGTTGGAGGAGGAAGTTCATCATTTCTGGGGGGTTGCGGATATATTCAAGGCTATTAGATGTGTCCCCTTCCCCTTCAACCACATAGATTTTCAGTTCAATGAGAGTTGATGGTTGTTTATTATAAAGCGAGAACCTGGGGGAAGATTAGGGACAGTGCCCAGAAATGCCCCATGCCCACTTCAGATGCCATCGTGGTTCCCCATGGCCGTGCCTCAGAATGGAGTCATCACTTTGCCCAGGAAAAGGATGCTCTGGGAGACGTTGTCGAGAACCATGAAGAGGAAGGGATGGTCAACACGGATGCTGGTAGCCTTGGCCACCTTTGGCTCAGTGCTATTTGTGGGGTTCTCTTGCTGCAGGCCCTTCTCGTTGATTTCCAGCTTGGCTTTGTGCAGCACCTGTTGGGAGTGAACCAAGGAGTGGTCAGTTCCTGCCGAGCCCAGCTGAGTGCCATGGTGAGGCTGGAACTAGGGGAGCAGGGAAACGAGGCTCTCAGACTGTGGAAAGTGGGGAGTGGGATCAAAAGGACAAGGAATTCTGGAGTCAACACATGTTCAGAGCTTGGGTGGGAAGCCGGGCAGGCTCTGGGGTAGCTTGTGATGGTCCTTATGGGGCCTGTCTGGGTTGAGGCCTGGAAGCCACGGGCAG